CCTGGAGTAGGCCCTTATTCCCTTGTTTTAGGTTTCAGATTCCCTTATAAGCCCCTTTAAACCAACAACGGCACCCTTTTTATTCCTAGGTTACTCTTGGGTCTAGTATTCTCAAACCCTAAACCCCTAGACCGTAAACCCCTAAACCCTAAACCCTAGTATTCCTAGGTTGCTCTTTAGGAGTTGAAACCCCGCACCCACTGGTCCGCAACTTCTGCCTAGGAAGGGCGACGACAGAAGCCCTCGAAAGGCAAGCTGTGAGAGGGTTACTTGGAGGGTCGGGGGACTTAGTAAGTAGGTAGTGAGTAGACTTATAAGTACCCTAAAAGAGACCCTAATTGGGGTTACGGTACTTATAAGTCCCTAAATAACCAGTTACTAAGTCCCCCGACCCTCCAAGTAAGGGTTCCTAAATCATACTTTACCTTAGCCCACTTTAGCTCAGAAGTTTGTAGAATACCTAAATCATGCCTTAGCCCAATTTAGCCCAGTTTTTTGTAAAATACCGAAATCATACCTGAGCCCACTTTAGCCCAGAAGTTTGTAGAATACCAAAATCATACCTTAGCCCAATTCAGCCCAGAGGTTTGTAGAATACCGAAATCATACCTTAGCCCAATTTAGCCCATAAGTTTGTAGAATACCTAAATCATACCTTAGCCCAATTTAGCCCAGAAGTTTGTAGAATACATAAATCATTTCTTAGCCCAATGTAGCCCAGAAGTTTGTAGAATGCAGCCTTTTGCAGGCTTTGGGCCATTATTCTACCTACTGTTAACTTTTGGGGCGAAGTAAACCATAAGCACGGTTAGAGGTACAATGGCTTCTGCGGTTTGGGAAGTCGCTACGTCGTTCGCTGCTACATCTTCCAGGTGTCAGGGTATCAATCCTCGGCCGACAGCTGTAGCGTCTGCAAAGACAGCAGGACCAGCGTTGGGCGGCATGGGGGATGATTCGACAGTGGATCCGGGCCCCTCCGCGCCGGAGGCACGCCAGCAGGGGCAGGCCCGGACATCGCCGCGGAGATCCCGGTCCCCGAGGATGACGACTTGGGGGCGGACGCCGCCTTGGAGGGATATCTCGCCGAGTCCTGTGGCTGGAGCTGGTGTTCCTGGACCCGAGCTTGCGGCACCTGGGGTTGTCGCCCAGACCTTCCAAAATCCCTTAATTAAGGAATATACCTTAAATTATAATTATTAGGGATCCCTAATATGAATTAAGGTATATTCCTTAATTAAGGGGTTTTGGAAGGTCTGGGTTGCTGCACCTGGGCTTGTCGCTGCTCCGCCGATGCCGGTGGAGGTGCCGTTGGCTGAGGCGGAAGTGGAGGTTTCCGAGAATAGGGGACCCTAATATACTTGGAGGCCCTGTTGACTTAGTAAGTCTACTTAGTATCCCCCAGAAACCTTATTATAATCCCCATAACCCACCTTACTAACCCACCTTACTAAGTCCAAAGGGCCTCCAAGTAGTACCCTAAATAGTAGGATCCTTATTATCAGGAGCCGAAGAAAGGGTAACCCTGATTTTCGGAAACTCTAAACCCTAAACCATGTATAGAACCCTTATAGATTCCTTTAAGGAGCGCTTAAAGGACCCCCAAATAAGGTGCCCCTAATCTTCGGAAACTCCCAAGTGCATCCTGGCAGGAAGCGTGGGAGTCGAGGGAGCAGGGTCATTCCCGAAAGACCCCAGACCTTCCAAAATCCCTTAATTAAGGAAGCAACCTTAAATTTTGATAGGAGCCCTAATATGAATTAAGGTACATTCCTCAATTAAGGGGTTTTGGACGGTCTGGGACCACCCTGGTTGGCCGATGTGATCCTGATGCTCCGACGGCCCCTAAACTCTAAACCCTAAACCCTGGACACTAGAGGTTTAGGGGTTTAGGGTTTAGGGGTTTAGGGTTTACGGGGTTTAGGGGTTCAGGGGTTTAGGGTTTGGGGGTTCAGGGTTTAAACCCTAAACCCTGAACCCGAAACCCTAAACCCTAAACCCCCTAAACCCTGGGCCGTCCTCTGCATCCTCTGGTTCTGCTGCGAAGGCTGCTGGGCTATCTCACCTGGTATTCTCTTAGGGAACTTTAAACTTTTTGACCCCATATATTAGCTCTTGAACTTTTGGGGGCCTGGTTGTTGAAGAAGAGAAGCAAAGGCAACAAGCACCCTCTTGCTTAGTTGGCTACAAATATTTGTGAGATCTTGTGTGTGTGTGTGTGTGTGTTTGTTTCACAGACGTTGACCGCATATGTTTGAATATCTACACGAATAGTGACGAATAGAGCCCTTGATGGGGACAGGTCCTATCTTACGGTGTAGAATCGCAGGAAATCTTGTACGATTGGAGAAACGCGCTATTGCCCTGTCTTAACTTTCCTTGCATACCCGTTTGGTGGTTGTTTTTTCAGATCCATTAAAACACGCTGTAGATTGTTGTGAGGCCCACAGAACCTTTGATAGCCGTCAAGGTCAAAGGAATAAAGGGCTTGAGATGTCAGGGGCTCACTTTTACATTGAGTATCATTGAGTGCAGTGAGGAATGCCCAAAGCTGGCACATCCCGGACGCCTTCACTGTCGAAATAATATAAGCCGTCAAAACCCCGTCAAACCCGAACGCTTATACTAAACCGTAAACCCTAAGCCCTGAACCGTCAAACCGTAAGCTTTAATCCTTTAGCGGCTAAGTCATCCTACCCTGCCCTGAGGTGGTGGCCGTGTCTCCCAACTCGACTGCACGTCGGGGAGCTTAGGGTTCCGATCCATCTCAGCAGCTGATCAGGTTTTGGGGTTTAGGGTGCAAAGGGTTTAGGGTTTAGGAGTTACAGCAACCCCCAAAAAGTTGGAAACCTGAGAAAGGACAAATAGTGCTGGGATTCCCTGTACGTTACTCTTACGGATTGAGGCTATGGGGTTTCCAACTTTTTGGCCTCTACTGTATGAGGGTCCGCTCCCTCCCTGACACCTACAGGCTTCAGGGAGGGAGTGGACCCAGAGACTCCAACTTCCGTCAACTAAGGAGTATTCCTTAGATCTTATCAGAGGTCCTACAAAAATTTAAGGTCTATTTGCTAGTTGATATTGGAGTCTGTGGGTATGTTCTTGATTCATATTCGCCTCCTCTTAAGCTTGTGTTTACATCGCTTGGGCTCTGCTCCCTCCCTAAACCGTCGCTTTGGGGTTGGGGGTTTCGGGTCAGGCCTGGGACGGTTTACTCGGACCTGGAGTAGGCCCTAATTCCCTTTTTTCAGGGTTCAGGTTCCCTTATAAGCCCCTTTAAGCCGAAAAGTGCGCCCTTTTTATTCCTAGGCTACTCTTGGGTCTAGTGTAAGAACTGGATTTTAAGCCCTGGACCCACTAATGTAGGAAAAGAATAGGGGTTTCTTAAAAAGGGATCCTTCAAGGGCCCCTGTGAAGGGACCTGTAGTAGGGTCCCTGTAAAGGGACCTGTAGTAGGGTTCTATATTATTGGGGCCTTAATAATTAATATAAGGGTCGGAACCTGATGAAGAAACCTTGGGCCTTTACTAGGGATCCTTGTTTGAATCCTAATGTTTTTGGCTTATAGGCCCAGGGTTTCTTAATCAGGTTGCTACATCAGTCAAGATGTCTGAAGAACAAGCAATAGTCAATAGTGGCCGGTCGTGGTCCCGTGCAGAAGTATATGTTAGGTTCCTGAGTCGTACCCATTTGCCCTTTTTAGTTTAAGGCACCCTTATTAACACCAAGCAGTAGGAACAAGGGTGCCCTTATTATACAGGGGCTATCCAGCAACCTTTTAAGGACCTAGTATGTCAATGATGGGGACAGCCTCAACGAGTACCGATGTCAGAGCGAGATTATTTCTGAGTAAAGGTTTAGAGTTTAGGGTTTCGGGTTTAGGATTGTTGAGTGCTTACGATGTTTGGGTTTCGAAACATGGTGGTGTGAGATTTTTGCTAAATCTTCTCGCAGCATGCTGGCTTCTGGTTCGTCGAGATAGCCCGGGTTAAAATGGATTCCGATGCCGGTCGGCCCACTGCCAATGACATCGCCGTGGCGGTCGTATCAGTAGTGGTACAAATAGCAGTACTTTGCAAAGCCGCACATTGGTGTTCCGTGCATCTGCCTCATCTGAAGCTGGGTCTCGGAGTACTACACTTTGTTACTTTTTTTTGTTAATGGCACTGTTCCTCAAAGGAACCATTACGAAACAAGTTTGATATTCATTTCATCTCCGTTTCTACATCAGAGCCCAGGAAGACATCAGTCTGCGGCTCTTGGGCACGGAGCAGCCAACAGGCCCCTACAACACCAGAGCGTGCGATGGAAGAGAGGGCGGTGAAGAGAAAAGTGCGCGAGCTGCAGGTGCAGATGTGGACATCCTACTTGCAAGTGGTTACCTTCACATTGAGTACGAGCCTTCTTTCGTCTCAGCTTAACATATTCAGGGGCATGCCACGGTGGATGCCACCGGCACTTGACTGGTCTCGACTTGGTATTCTCATCTTGTCTGCAGCACCAACGCTGTATCCACGGATTCTGTCCATCAGGCGTGCACTGGATGTCTGCTACTTGGCACGCTAGGGGCACTTTTGTGTGTCTTGTCAACTTCCAAGCCCGATACCTCGACTTGAACCAGGTTGTGTCAATAACTAGCCGCAAGCCCCCAGACCTTCCAAAATCCTTTAATTAAGAATATACCTTAATTCATAATAGGATCCCTAATATAATTTAAGGTATATTCCTTAATTAAGGGATTTTGGAAGGTCTGGGCCATCCACAACCACCTCAGCCCCAAGCGTCCAAGTATCCCTATGGGTGGTATACGCATATGTACTATGACCTTAATCCAACAGCAGTTCCTACAGAATTATTTTAGGGCCCGCGGCCCAAGTATCTACCATATGAGTACATGGACCTGGACAATGAAGGCTATGCTGGAATTATGGGTTTCGTGCTGCTGGCGCTGTCGCCATTGGGCTCTTCACCGGATCAGATGTTCCTACTGATGGTCGCTGCTTATGTCCTTGTACAAGCTCCAACTGCTTCGTGGCTGTTCAGTATTCTTTGTTTAGGGTCTATTCTTGGGTTTAGGGCTACAGGCTTGTATTAACTTTTACACTGTTGGGTTCTCGGTTGTGGGGTTTCTAGTCTAGCCCTAAACCCCAACCCCTAAACCTCTAAATTTTGAACCCCTGAATCCCTACACCCTTGAACCGTGGCCCTTCTCCATACTTTTCCCCGGAAGAACAGAGGCCGGTCTCCAGTATCTGGCTGGTTGCCAGGCTTTTCAGTGGTTGGCTTTTTACTGCTCTGCCTTTTTCCTTTTTCCTCTTAAGCGTTGAATACCTAACTAACCTGAAAAAGCATAGAATACAACTAGCTTTCAAAAACAGATAATGCGGCTAACTAACCCCAAGAAGCATAGAATACAACCAGCTAACCTCCAATGGCATATTTAACACAACTAGCGAAACTCAAAAGCATGTAGATTTTCCCATATGGGTGGTTGTCAAAATTATGGTCCCTTTTTGGGTACCCTAAATATTAGGTGCCGTACTATAATAAGGGCCCAAAAAGGGACCCTAATTTTGACAACCACCCATATGGTTCCTGCACAGCTCAGGTTATCTTGGGCAACCTGGGGGTCTTGCTTGTGTTGCTGTCACCGGGTTATGGAGTATCATACGTTATTACTTTCCTTTTTTGGATTTTAGGGTTTTAGGTTTTATGGTTTGGGGTTTTGGGGTTTAGGGTGTAGGGACCACCGTGAACTTGAATAAAGGTTCGTACCTTTTTTTCCCTGGTCACGTCAAAACCGAGGTCAAGAGCTTCATTTGACAGCTTGGACACCGGGGATTGCATCCAACAGTCCTCATATGTTCCTGCTCTGGTGCACCATGTGTTGTTTTGCTTGCTTCTACAATTGGTGTCCGTATGGAGACAATTCTAGAGCCAGAAGATCTAACCCTTGGTGTGGGCGTGTTCTCTCCCTGAAGTCAGGTTCTTATTTGGCTGGAGGTTGCTTTCAGCAGCAGCTGCGTAATCGCAGCCGTGGGCACGCAGGCCATACGAATTTATAAGAGCCACGGTTTAGGATTTAGGGTCTAGGGTTTAGGGTATAATTATGGTATAAGGGATTCAGTGGCTACGGGTTCTTTAGGTTCCCCAGCTGTAGCGATGGAAAGGGTACTTTTTTTCAAGATGAGCCTAGAGTAATGGCTAATACCAGCAAACCCCATCTAACCCAGAGGCAATCCAGCATGCATTGCTGAGCTACAGTTTGCGCTAAAACCCTGAAACCCTAAACCCCTTAACCCTTAACCCCAAACCTCGAACCCTCAACCCCTAAAGCCCTAAAATCCCTGAAGCCCTACACCCTCCGAACCAAAGACCAGTGTCCAGCAGCTCCTACACTCCTAGCCCTATCCCCTTTCTTTTTTTTGTCCCTTAAAAGGGATCCTTAAAGGGTTCCTTAAAAGGGCTTCTGTAAGGGTCCTCATAATGAGTCTCCAGAAGGGCTTCTATACCACTTAGTAGCTGCGTAGGTATTCTGGAACCTTTTGGGGTTTGTATAATCCTGCAATCATTGAAAAAGTTAATGTAGGATCCTGATTAAGAAAACTTGGGCCGATAACCCCAAAATAGTAGGGTTCATATAAGGAACCCTAATGACGGCCCAAGGTTTCTTAATCAGAATCTAGGACCTAGAGTAGGCCCTTATTCCCTTTTTTGGGGTTCAGGTTCCCTTATAAGCCCCTTTAAACCAAAAAGGGCACCTTTTTTATTCCTAGGCTACTCTTGGGTCTAGGAATCAGGTTCCTGCTGGGGTGCTCAGCCCCTTTAATGCACAGCTTGGAAGCTCTACTTGGAAGGGCAGGGGACTTAGTAAGTAGGTTATAAGTAGGGTTATAATTGGGGTAACTCCATTTAGGGTACTTATAACCTACTTACTAAGTCCCCTGCCCTTCCAAGTATCAACCTTCGAAGCATCGGGCAGGGTTCCTATGCGTATCTTAATTCAGGAATCCTCCTGCAAGTTTTTGAAAATATGACTTTCAAGACGGCTATACACTTGTTTGTATATGTATATATGTATATATAATTCTGTATTTATGTATGTATATATATATATATTATATTTATTTATATTTATCTTCATTGTTTATATATGCACATATATACATATATATATATATATACATATTTATATATATATATATATATATATGTACGCATGCATGTGTATGTGGAGACTAATGTGTTTTCCAGGTCACTTCTCTGTAGTTTTAAAACTCATCTTGTCAGCAGGTGGCTTTGAAGATGAATGAGCGTCAGCGGATTCGCTACAGACGCGCCTTGGAGTAGTACAACTGAAGAAGCGGGAACTGGAACTTATGGGGTCCACGTACAGGTAGAGTGTACATGTTGGCTAAAGCTGCGTTGCAGGGAGGCGTAAGGCCCCAGAAGAGGCTAATGTAATACATGGACCCTTACCCAGAGAGCCCAATACCCCTTGATTAAGGAATATGGCTTAAATTATAAGGGGCTTCATATTATGGTTTAAGCTATATTCCTTAATTAAGGGGGAGCGTTGAGTTGGAATGCTCTCATATGTATTTGCTTTCGATCTACAGCTCGTTTACTCCGAGCACACTTCTACACCAGATCCTTAAACGCGTTGAGGAAAGCAAACTGGGCATCTAATACCGGGGCCTGAACAGTTAGCATGCAGTATTCCTCAGGGTTCCTCATTGGAAATGAACACATAATACCGCACTGTTCTAATTACATATGCCTCGGTAGTGTTATTGCTGTTGTTTGATATTGTTATCATTGCTACTAGGACGTTTGAGGACTAGGACGTTTGAGGCTTGCGGCGACTAAGGTGCAACGACAGAGCTTGATGCTGCCACATCGCTCCTAGAACTGACTTGTGATGCTGTTGTGGAGCTCGACGAGGATGATAATATCTTGGCTGTCTATAATGGGTTCTATGGGGGTTCTATTCTAGGCAACCCTAAACCCTGAACCTATTCCATGAATGGTTTCGTATTCGTAAGGGCTTTTGTCCATGTCCGCCAGTGGCACCCCTATGCTCTGTTTATATTCGGAGGTTCCTCGTACACAACTGAATAGCAATATAATTGGTACAAGGAGAATCAGGTGTCTGGAGACAACCTACTACCCTTAGTAGCTGAGTAGGTAACCTTTGACCTTTCGGGGTTCATACAAGTCCGCTGCAACCTTGAAAAGATTAACCTTTTTTGGGCTAGGTTACTGAGCCCCTAAGTACTTTATCGTCTTCCTCATGCTCTTACCCTAAACCCTAAACCCTAAACTCTAAACCGTTTGGTACTACCTAGCTTACCCTGAATCCTGAACCCCAAGCCTAAACTCCAAATCCTGTTGAAGTTCTTGATGAATGCCTTTTTTTGACAACCCAACAGGATCCTCCCGAGACCCTCCAACCCCTTATTTCAAGGAGTATGCCGCAAATCATATTTGGGACCTTACGCGGAGGATCATGGGACTTAGTAAGTAAGGCCTTAGCTACCAAAAAATTGGGGTTAGAAGTAGTTATAAGTATAGCTACCCTAAACCCCACATACTACGTCCCATAATCCTCTAACTCTAACTACTATAACTCAAGGTATATTGCTTTTTAAGCACGAGATATTGCAAGGGGTAGCTCCCAAAGACCTGCCAGGAAGAGTACAAAATAAGAGAGAAACCTGTGAAACATGCCAGACCCCATCAAGACCCTCGACCCTAATGTAGGAACTTGATTAAGAAACCCTGCGCCTATAACACCAGAATAGTAGGATTCATATGAGGAACCCTAATCAAGGCCCAAGGTTTCTTAATCAGGTTCCTACGTGAAACCCCAAACCCTAAACCCCCAAGCTCCTATAGACCCTATTGCTAGATCCTATATGGGAGTTTCCGAGTAGGACCCTTATTATAAGGACCCCCAAATAAGGTACCCCTCATTTTCGGAAACTCCCATATTGCGCCAGCAGGACCTGCGTCTCACGGACCATTCCTCGGAGTTGGCGGCGATTTTACTGAGGAAGCCCGATTCCTCTCTGGCAGGCCACAGCTTCTCGAATTAAAACGGGGCCTTGTGGTGTCGGGTTTAGGAGAATTGAAGGACTTTTATTAAAAAGTGGTGCTGGGCAGTAGGCACAGTACAGTAGTGCAACTATCAACTGATTTTTTTATTGCCAGCTGTTCAGAGTCCTATGCTCTCGACGGGCTGTGCGAAACCCTGAGTTCAGGTCTCAGGGTTATGTTTGGGCAGGTGAAAGGAATAGAGAGCTGCCCGGTGTAATCATGCTTTAGGGTTTAGGTAGCCTTTAGTGCTCTGATGTTTTCGTCTAGTAGCAGCTCTCCGTAGGTGAGCTGGTGCGTTTTAGCCCTCAACTCGGACCTAGAGTAGGCCCTTATTCCCTTTTTGGGGGGTTCAGGTTCCCTTATAAGCCCCTTTAAACCAAAAAGGGCACCCTTTTTATTCCTGGGCTACTCTTGGGTCTAGTGTAACATATTGCAACTTTGATCGAAAGTGGAAGTTGAAACCTATCCGGGCCGACCCGCAGCCCCAAACCCGACAAAATAGTCGGGTATGACCCCTTAATTGCATGGCGTTGCCCTTAAAACACTAGGGTTTTTTCGGATTCACAGCTACACCCTACTTGGAGGCCCTTTTGACTTAGTAAGTAGGGTTAGTAAGGTGGGTTATGGGGATTATAATTGGGTTTCTAGGGGATACTAAGTAGACTTACTAAGTCAAAAGGGCCTCCAAGTAAAAGACCTTCGAACCCAAAGGCCCTGAAACCCAATAAGCCTTACTCTCAGATCCTTTCCCCTAAGCAACCCTAAGCCCTAAACAACTAAAATAAACCCCTAAACCCCTAAACCCTAAACCCTAAACCCCTAAACCCTAAACCCCTAAACCCCTAAACCCCTAAACCGTAAACCCCTAAACCCCTCAACCCTAACCCCTAAACCCCTGAATGGAAAAGAGCCCTCAAAAAAACAAAAAAACTAAACCCCTCAACCCTAACCCCTAAAACCCCTCAACACTAAAACTCGGAAGCTGCCAAAAGCTGTAGAGCCCTGAAGCCCTCCTTCAAGCCCTACTTGGAGGATCATGGGACTTAGTAAGTAGGGTTCCTTACAGGGCTCCTTTTTAAGGGATCTGTGGGGGGGTTCCTTAAAAGGGATCTATAGGGTTTAGGTTTAGGGTTTAGGGTCTACTTGGAGGATCATGGGACTTAGTAAGTATAGGGTGCATAGGGTTATAACTGCCTTAATTGGGGTTATAAGTACTTTTAAGTATAGTTACCTTATTTATAATCCCACTTACTAAGTCCCATGATCCTTTAAGTATACCAAGAGGCTCATACCGTCCCTACTGCATGTTTAGGGTAGCTACTTTTGAAACCAGTAGATTCTAAGAACAAACTTAGGTATCCTATAAATCGGGTGGGGTATGAGCCTCTCTAGGTAGGCCGCAAGCTTGTCAACATCCAAGGCTTTTTGGAGTTTGTGGCCAGCTCTCCCGAACAAGTCAGCGTTCGGCACATGCTCTCTGCTTCAGCACGTGGCTAGGTCAGTGGGTTTAGGTTGCAAGGGTCTGCAGGAACCTTTTTTTTCCTGTTGCGGCTTGGGTGATTTTCGAAGCAATCCCTACATGGGATCGTGATTCCTTCGTTCCTGAATGCCAAGGCGGCGCGCAGCATGTCAACGAATCTTCCGCAAATGCATTTCATACCCGGTTGGCCGACAGCTGCCGCAGCAAGTTTCGCACAGAGGTGTTCCACGTGAGCTTTCGACGGGAAGATGGTCACTTGCTGGTGCTTAAGGAGAAGGGAGACTGGGGGGCCCTGAATCACCCCTCACAGTGATCCTTGTATTCCTTCCTCCACTCTTCCTTACCTAAACCCAAGAGTAGGTAGAATACTGGCCCAACACCCACGCAAGGCCATTTTTCTACGTACTTTTGGAGTAGAGACCAGCGCCATCCAGGTCAGCAGTATCATTTGCTTGGATTGCGAGATTTCACAGACCAGAAATCCTTGGCCAAGGCTCCTTGGTTGATGTTTGGAATCTGTTCAGGATTTAGCGGTTTAGGGTACACGTCTTTTTGTGTTGTTTTGTGGTCTGGCCTTCCGTATGTCTAGCAAGGGAGCCTTAAACACGAAACGCGCTTGTCTTTCCTTGGTTAGCGGGACCAAGGCCCATCCAAATAATCATGGCGACGGCACGACTGTAGGCAAGCGACTTGGGCGCTATACCACCGCGGACGTCAGCCCGAACTGTCAAGGGGGCACCAACCCCCTGGATGAGGTGCATCGTTTGGGTGGGATATCCCTACCTTATTGCTTTGTTTGAAAGGAGGACTATGGGATATCCGCCTTATGACTTTGTACATGCTTTTGGTATCCCTACGTTTGGCTTTGCAGTCTAGGACCTTTTCTCCCCCTCTGAACAAAAGTTCGCTAAATCCCAAACCCTCAACCCTGAGTATAGCGTTGTCAGAACTTTTGTCAAAGGTTAACTTTCTGTTCACCCATGACACTGGGCAAGTAAGGCTTGGTTTGGAGTTCAGAGATTGACTGGGTTTCGGAGTTACGGGTTTCTATAGGGGCACTTGTAAAAGATCGACAAAAACGGTTGCGATACAGGGATCTATAAGGACTCTGGAGTTTCATACGTTATTGTCTGTTTTCTGGATGTGTTTTTCAAAGGAACCATCATGACAGAAGAGTTGACGCTGCTTTCTCGCTGGTTCCTTCAAAGCCCAGGAGAGGTGGTTGATGTTAACCCACAACCGTTAAGGGTCCACAGGGCCGAATATTCAGGGGTTTTCTGCGGGTTACATGAGGGCTTCTATGACAACGGGGCTTAAGGTTGCAAAGGACCTAACAAAGAGGTACTTGAGTTCAGGACAGTAGTTTTGTAGCGTAGTGTTTAAGAGAGTATATAATGGTTAGGTACCCTCCGGGTCTTTTCCCCGCCAGAGGTATCCCACTTAAAGTAGTACGGCTGGAGAAGCAGCTTCACCCAGCTACCGAGCTACCCAACATCGTGTCCACGAGGTCGAAAAGAGTCGTCCGATTTCCCTGATCTTCGACATGGATAGCCAAGTTGTGGATGCAGCTTCATGTCGGGCCTGTGGCCTAGCTATGTTCTTAGCTTGTTTTGCCCATGGCGTGGACATTCCTAAAACCTTGAAGCTATAAATCCTGAAACCCTAAACCTTAAAGCCAGAAACCTAAAAGCCATAAATCTTGAAACCCTAAACCTTAAACCCTACACCTTAAACCCTAAACCCTAAACACAGAAACCCTAAACCTTAAACCCTAAACCTTCAACCCTAAACCCTAAACACAGCAACCCCAAACCTTGAACCTGAAACCCTGAGGCTTCTTGGTCGGGCAGCGATTGGACGACCTCTTTCCAAATTCGGGCCACGAGCTCTTCCAGACTTTCTGGGCCCGCATGGTGCCGCACCTTGCTCGAATGGTTTTTCCCAAAGGGTCCTAGGTACTGTTATGTGGGATACTTCCCTAAATCATCATAGTAATTCCTAGTATTATAATATCGAAACCCTACATTCCACTATATAGGTACTTTGGACCCTTTGGGTTTGTAAAGAGGAAGAAATCTAAGGCAAGGCAATTGAAAATGAGAAGTGTAGGATTGACGCAAGGAGCTGTTCAAACTTTCGAGCGTTTCTGCAAAAGACACAAACATGCACACATATTTGTATGTATATATATATATATATTCACACACACACACACACACACACACACTCTCTCTCTCTCTCTCTCTCCCCCCTCTCTCTCTTGTGCGCGCAAGCGCCCGCAACGGCGAAGCGCAAGGCGATGTTCGAGCTACAGCAATGCTATAATACAGAACAACCTCAGTACCTACATATATATATGTATATATATATATATACATATATATATATATGTATATGTATATGGGAGTTTCCGAAAATTAGGGGTAATTACCTTATTTTGGTATTATTTGGGGTACTAGAAGGTCCCCCCCCCCCCCCCCCCCCACATACCTACCCTTTTTTATGCTTCCTGCTCAGCTCCCCTACACAGTCCCAATCGTGCTCCCCTACACCGTCTCCAAATTACGCGGTCGTGCTCCCGTACACAATCCCAAAACATTGGGACCACTCATGGTTTTCGCATCCTGGAGGCTCAAAACCATGAGAAGTCCCAACGTTTTGGGCCCGTATAGCACAAAACATTGGGACCTCTCAGCACTTTCGCACTCCAGAGTCCGCATGAAAGGTCCCAATGTTTTGCGGATTCAGAGCCCAAAAAAACCCTGTAAGGTCACAATAAAACCAATAAAACCAATGTTCTAGGGGTCTCTGGGGAGCGCGAGCTTGGAGACGCCTAAAACATTGGTTTTATTGGTTTTATTGGGACCTTCCATGGTTTTATGCTTTCACAGCTTCAAAAGATTGGGACCTCTCATGGTTTTCGCATCCCAGAGTCACCAAACCATGAGAGGTCGCAATGTTTTGGGCCCGTAGAGACCAAAATATAGAGGCCTCTGATATTGAAGCCTCTGAACAATCGTGCTCTCCCATAGTCCCGAAACTATAGGGTCGCAATGTTTTGGGCTTCCGGTGTGCAACGCCATACTCTCCAAGCTTCTGTTTCAAGCTCGAAGCACCCGGGAGTAGACCGACCCCCGGATTTGAATATTAATCAATATGTGAATATAGTCGTATGTTCATAAAGTAGTAGAACACTATTTTCGATAAGTCGTAGAATAGCAAACAAAACATATTCGTACAGGTGTATTAGTATATTCCCAGACCACCAGGAGGATCTAGAGAGTAGAACCACCGTTTTGGGACCCTGTACTGCTAAGGGTATTTGATAAGAACCACCATTCAGGGATCTACTTTGTAGATCCTCCCTGTGGTCTGGGCTGGTATACTGGTATATTGGTACACTGGTATACGAAAATATACGAATGCAAAAACATACTAGTATATGATTATACATATATGAGTGCTAATACTACTATCAAATCTAAGACTAAGACGCATACCAATACGAGTACTAGCACCAACACTAACACGATCATTAATAGCGGTCTTAGCACGAACAGTTACACTGATATTGACAGTGCCACAGACACCAACACTAACACTCTCACTAGCGAGCACGAACACTAATAGTAAGACTAATGCTAGTGTTAACATTAGTGCTTATACTAATACTGAGTCAAAACTAATACTAACACTACAACGGTATCACTAGTACAGACACAAAGGCTACTATTCATGATGGTAACAATACTAAGGTTAAACCCAGAACAGGTCTAAGTCAAGACTATGACTAACACTATTACACAGGCTGGGAGTAAGAATAAGACTATAAGAGTAGGGTTACAACACGACGAAGACTAAAAACCACAACTATATTCAACCTCGTAGAATAGCAAACAAAACATATTCGAACAGGGGTATATGAGTATATTAGTACGGTGGCACATACGTGTATTAGTATATTCCCAGGAGAATCTAGAAAGTAACACCATAGTACAAATAGTAACACTGATACTGACACTGCCACAGAAAACCAACACTAACATTCACACCCACACTTACGAACACGAATACTAACATTAGACTAATACTGGTATTAGCATTAGTACTTATGCTAATACTGACTCAAAACTAATACTAACACTACAACACTAACACTATTACAAACATAAAGACTACTACTCATGATGATAATAGTACTAAGGTTAAACCCAGAACAGGTGTAAATCAAGACTACGACTAACACTATTGCACAGGCTGGGACTAAGAATAAGACTATAAGAGTAGGGTTACAACACGACTAGGACTAAACAACACAAATATTTTCAACCAAACTTGCATGTATGTTCTGCGTGCGCCTGCCCAAGCAGATTTTACATGCAGCAGTATGGGCGTTGAGAGTAACACGCAATCAACAGGAGAGCGGAGATACGTAATATAAATGTTGCGATGCTTGTAGACATAAAGACCTTGACGGAAGACGTGTCGAAATAGTAAATGATGCCCACGAACACGAAAGCTACCGACATTTACATGGCTGCCGGCTTCCATGTGCAACAGCACGGCCGCACACTTGATCACTCATATGGTCACTAATCCCCATGTCTTCCTAGACTTCACTTCGGGTTGGACAAGAAAATGCTTTATGAAAGCCATGAAGGTGTAGGTACGCCAGGGGGGGTAGCACACACACACACACCACACACACACACACACATATATATATATATATATATATATATGTATATGTATATGTATATATGTGGGAGTTTCCGAAATAAGGCGTACCTTATTTGGGGGTCCTTATAGTAAGGATCCTACTATTTGTGGTGCTAGAGTAGGGTTCCCTATTTTCGGAAACTCCCATATATATATATATATATATATATATATACATGTACATACAAACATATAATATGCACACATACGTATGTGCAAATAAAGATAAAGAGGCAGACCGAGAGACAGAGACACAGACAGGGGGGGAAGAGAGAGCCGAGAGAGAGAGAGAGGGAGAGAGAGAGAGAGAGAGACTTTTGACTGGCGGTAGTTGTTGACGAAGACAGGTACTTTCAAACGCACGAAATGGAAGCAGTCACACGCGCCTTACAGCGCTTCGACAAATTGCCGGTGCAGTGGGCTCCTTCTTTAAATGCTCACATCGACGGCACGGTGGAGTTGATTCAATTGTGGAGGGGTGGGTCCTGCGACTACCGCTTGTTGGTTACATGCGATGGATGCCCGGTGAGTTGCCCAGCGATTGAACCCTCACAGGCGGGACGAAGCCTTGGCATTTTGCCAGGTGCACCTTTGTCTGACAAGGACGCTGTTTTGAATATTTCTTCTAAAACGACTGGCGAAGCCAGACACTAAGCGACAGGATCGAGAGGATCCTGCAGCTTGCAGCTTCTTTTCCCGGCTGCTGGCGCATTGTGATCGTGCGTACCCAGAGGCTCCATAGTAGTTCCTTTTTGGGATTACCTTATATGAACCCCCAAAAGGGACTACTTCGGAGCCGATTGCTTACCCGGACGCCAAAATTATGTAGAATAACTGCCGTTTATAGGTCTTGGGTTGACATTTTATCTATCGTTGGGGTTTAGGTCCTGCAAAAATATAGGTTGTATATAGTAGGCACCAGCCCCCCCTGGCTAGGCTTGCAGCCTTTTTTTATGTATTCGGCCTGTAATATCTCGCACTTCACAGCGTCTAGATATCTTTTCAGCTATACAAGTGATACCACGCTTGGAGGGATTGCTGGTGCAGTGGGGTCATTCCCCTTCGAGTTGCCTAGCGACTGCACCCTCACTAGCCAAAAAGGCACCTTGGCCTTTTGCCCGGGGCGACTTTGCCTGACAAAGACGCATTTCTAAATATGTGCTGTCAAACGACGGGTGGTACCAGAACTTGACCGTAACAGTCTGCAAGACGGCGCCGCAGCTTACCGTTGTCCTGGGTGCCGAAGTACTGCATTAGTTTGCAGTCATATACTGCTGGGCCGTGGCTTCTTGAAGAAAGATACTGTTAAAGATACCCTTAGCCCGAAGCCCCAATCCCTAAACTCGAAACCCTAAAGCCCTAAACCCTCTTAAACCCGATTGCCTAACAAAGGCAGAAAGTTTCAACTTTCATTTTAACTTTCAAGCCCCCCTGGCCCACCCAGTGCTTCTAAAGCCCAGAACCCGTCGTGGAGACAGGGTTTAGGGTTTAGGGGCTTAAGGGTAGTGCCTACTATCCAACATAAGCAGTAGCCTATAAACCCACCAAAACAGCCCTTATAGATAGACCCCGTAAAAAAACCCTGTAAGGGGACCCTTTGATACCAAGACTGCACTGACACCTCAGCCCTAACCCCTACTGGTACCCTATATCCACAGAGCCCAATACTCCTCGACGAAGCAACATACCTCAGATTAGGGTTTACCTTAACCCCAAATAACCTACTGTTTTAAGGCCCTGTATAAGGAAATCATAATCGGGAACCCTATAAAGGTAGATTCTTCAGGGTCCAGGTAGGGTTTAGAATGCGGGGCCTGACTTAAGGTATATTCCTAAGTTGAGGGTTGTGCCCCTTGCGTGTTTGAGAGCACTACAGACCCCAACAGTAACCCTTAGCGGAACCCCTTTATTGAGCTGTAGGGTACTCCCTGTATTGAGCTGTAGGGTACTGACTTTCCTTAGATCCTGACGCCAAACCCTAAACCCCAACTCAAACACCCAATGCCCTAAACTCCTATCCAAACATTCTGGTCCTAAGCCCTAATCCATAAGTCCTGCAGTACTTCAGCTCCTTTTGAAGAGGAGAGCAGAAGCGATTTTTGAATCATGACCCGATTGGGCCAAATGATCAGGGGCTCTAGGAGGCGGTTTAGGGTTCTAGAAAGGGCTTTAATGGCATTATATCGGGTTTAAGGGTGTTGAAGGACCTAGTAAGGAAGCACTTCGGTTAGGTCGGTGGCTTTGTCGGTGAGAATTTGAGAGACTACAGGATTTTTAGGCACTTGGACGCTTGGGGGGAGCCCCTGTTTCCTGGCAGTTCTCGTTTAATAGTAATAGTAATAGTAATAGTAATAGTAATAGTAATAGTAATAGTAATAATAATAGTAATAGTAATAGTACTAGTAATAGTAATAGTAATAGTAATAGTAATGGTAGGATTTCGGGGTTTACTTGACATCCTCGCGACTGAATCTAGGGATATTAAGGCTTTTGGGCACAAAGACCATACTACATAAGGCTTTTGGGCTGTTTTGATCCCTAGGCTATGTCCCCTGATCATGTTCACGATGGAGAGAGCGTATCTCTACAAGACACAAGACGCAGCAGCTGACCATGAGAAGACAAGAGGGTGCTAGGGTCATGCAAGCGAGCTTTCATGTATCCTGGCAAAACCCCTTGCCCTAAAATGTTCTCGTAATCTGTCTACTAAGTCCCATATTTGCCCTTCAAGTGATGCCCTCAACCCAAAATCTTGAAATCCTTAACCCTAAACCCTTCTCACACCTGTTGAAGCCCGTATGAACCTCACTACAACTATCGCAGACCCACGGTTCTGTCGCTTCAGGTGTTGCTTGTTTAGGGATTGGGAGCACGCAGACCTTCCAAAATCCCTTAATCAAGGAATATACCTGAATTCAAAACAGGATCCCTATTATAATTTAAGGTATATTCCTTAATTAAAGGCTTTTGGAAGGTCTGGGCACTACATCTTGTGTTGTAGTGTTCACTTCTAGAACTGAAAGTGTACAGTTTTGGGGCTTCTGAACTCAGCAACTAATGTCAACGTAGGGTTTATGGTCTGTGCAACCTGCCGAAGTCATGGTACCACCAAGTTTAGGACCTAGAGTAGGCCCTTATTCCCTTTTTTGGGGGTTCAGGTTCCCTTATAAGCCCCTCTAAACCGAAAAGGGCACCCTTTTTATTCCTAGGCTACTCAATGTTCCAGCCATGCCTTGGATGCAAAAACCCCGCACATCCGCAGCTCTACTTTCTGAGATTTGCGAGTTTCCAAAAATTAGGGGTACCTTGTTGTGGGGTCATTATAATAAGGATCCTACTATTTATGGTACTAGATTATAGGGTCCCTATTTTCGGAAACTCCCATTTGAAGGCTAAACCCTAAACCCTTGAACTGTAGTCTTTAAGTTTTCAACGTTGCAACTTGCAGGTATAGACGCGGAATCGTAGGCAACTGCAGCCACAGCTAGACCCTATTTAGACCTTCGTTCCTCAGTAGTACCCCTCTGCTTTTCTTTAGGTTTCCCTTCTTAAAACTGATTACGATTATGGGGACACTGAGGAACCTAGAAACATCACACGCAAGTGCCGGAAAAGCTTGACCACCCTACACCCTAAGAGCCTGCAGCCTCAAAGCTTTTGCAGGGTTCTAGAGTCCCAGACCTTCCAAAATCCCTTAATTAAGGAATATACCTTAATTCATAATAGGATCCCTAATATAATCTAAGGTATATTCCATAATTAAGGGATTTTGGAAGGTCTGGGGTTACAGGTTGCAAATCGATTTCTACAATGTAAGTATTCCAAGTTGGTTGTCTAAATCGGCTGGCCGGCTTACGCCCCCACAAACCCTCTATTCCTACGATTCCCAGTATACAAATGGCACCTGCTTTCGGGTCTCGAAAGTCTAGGAATAGTACCTACTCCGGGCACTTTGGAGTCTTAGAGTAAACACCTACTGACCATCCTCGAAGACCTGAAACAGCAAAATCGCCCAACTTGCCCTAAACAGTGAATCCTAAGCCTTACCTTAACCCTGAAAAGTTATGATTTCCTTGTATAGGTTATTCCGGGTTAAAGTAAACCCTAAGCTCCAAGGACGGAAAGAGCTTTGGGAGCGCAGACAGAAGCACCTGCTGGCCGAGGTTCAGGCCGCTTTCGGGGTTCTGTTTCTGGGGTTTAGGGTTTAGGGGTCTAGGGTTTAGGGTTTCTTCCGAGTTTACTTCGACCTTGGGTACGGCCCCCACTCAATAATAGTGGAAGAATATTCATAATTAATGTAGATATATTAGGACCTTAATAGTAGCCCTATTATAGACTATTACTGTATGGGGGCAGTACCTAAATTTGACCCCAAAATACCCTAGCTTTTTTGAGGACTGGTATGACGAAATCATAGCAAGGAACCTTGAAACGGTAGGTTTCCTAGGGTAGGTTTAGGGGTTGAGGTTTCCTTTATTTTCAGGAATTCTGCCGGGTTTAGGGTTAAGGATTTCTTTCGGGTTTGGGTTCAGGTATCCTTTGAGTGTTGCTTTGAGGGTTGCTTTGAGAGTTCTGAAAGGCATTTGGGGTTTAGGGTTTAGGTTTCCTTTAGCGTGTTGCTTTGAGGGATGCTGTAAGGGACTACGCCGGACTGCCTGACTCCGATTGGTATACAAGGCTCATCAATCGCAGAAATCCAGCGATGGAGCCGTTTTTCACATTCCCTAGGGAACCCTTCCTTCTGGAAGGGGATAGCCCTCGTTCCTGAAAAGGGATGTGTGCCGTCATTGACGATGTCTGAAGAAGGAGGAAGGACATGGGAGTTTCCGAAAAATAGGGCGCCGAATATAGCACCCTAAATAGTAGTGTCCTTATTATAAGGACCCCAAAATAGGTAAGGTACCCCTAATTCTCGGAAGCTCCCACATTTGTGGATTTGACGGCAGATCCGAGATATTCCTTGGAGGATGCCATCCCCTTCGTTCATAGGAGGCAAAAGGGATTTTAGCCTATGGGGATTTAGTAGGGATTAGGGTTCCCACAATAGGGTTCATATTAAGGAATCCCTACCCCAAGAATCTCAAACCCCCCTATTGGCCTACGATCATTCGTCGTCGGAGAATGGATTAAGGACCAGATCTCCGGGGAGAGCGGTGACTCTACTGGCATGGTGGTCAGGTACTTGATGGACGTGACGAGTGCTGTTGAAGTCACGACCAAAGTCAAAAAGGGTAAAAGGACTTGTACTCACAGAATTGCATGTTTTGAGAAGTTAAGACCTTCTGAAAGCGTTTTTTCCACATTCAAAGAGTTTCGGGACGCGTGCAACAAGTCTGGGACTTTAAAGGAGTTCAATAAGCTTTTGAGCCTAACTAATTAAGTAATCGAATAAATTTGTTAAGATCCTTTAAGGGGTCTAGGTTTGGGGTTTTGGCCTGTTTTTGGAGACTTTCCTGAGTTCTTGCTTCAATTCTAAGTCCGTTAATGGGAGCGGAGCAGAGGGGTTTAGGGTTTAGGTGTTTAGGGTTTAGGGTTAGTTTAGGGTGTAGGGGTTTAGGGTCCAGGGGTTTAGGGTTTAGGGTTTAGGTGTTTAGGGTTTGGGGTTTAGGGTTTAGGGTTTAGGTGTTTAGGGTTTGGGTATTTTTGCTTTAGATGTTCAGGGTGTAGGGGTTTAGGGTCCAGGGGTTTAGGTTTAAAGTTTGGGCTACTGTTGTGGCATGTGTAAGGCAGTAGTTTGGGAGGGTCTACAGTAGTGACAAGATGTGACAAGGTTTGTTTCGTTGGGTTCCAGTATATCGCTTTGAGTTTGGACTAAGTTTAGCTGAGGATTCAGGATTGCGGGTGTAGGCTACGTAGGGCTTAGGTTTAGCATGGTTTACGTAGTTTGTTTGAGGTTATCTGTAAGCTTCAAACCTTAATCAACCTTAAACCCTAAACCCCAAAGTCCTATACCCTAAACCTTAGACCCTAAACCCCTAGACCCTAAACCTCAAAGTCCTAAGCCCTAAACCTCAAAATCCTGACTCTGCAGGGCAGACGGAAAAAAGGCGTTCAAAAAAGAACAGAAACTCAAAATCCTAACCCTAACCCCCCCCCCACTAAACAACGACGCTAACTAACCATTGATATTGTGGGAGCTAAGGAGCCAGGGATGAGGATAATCCCTATTAAATAAGGAGCTAAAGAGCCAAGGGAACCCCCAAAACCTCTGTTTAGAAAACCCTAAAGCCCTGAATCCTTTCAGACCGTGGCCCGGAAGCTCACGCAGAAGCGCCTGATGGAGGTGCTGGCATCTTGGCTTCTAGAGTCCCTGAGGGTGCATGTACCCAAATAGGGACCTTTTAAGGGTTCCTTTAAGGGTTCTCGGACCTAGAGTAGGCCCTTATTCCCTTTTTTGGGGGTTCCGGTTCCCTTATAAGCCCCTTTAAACCAAAAAGGGCACCCTTTTTATTCCTAGGCTACTCTTGGGCCTAGGAGTGCATGTGCCCAAACTGGGATCCTTTAAGGGTTCCTTTAAGGGTTACTTCAAGGGTTTAGAGTATCAGGATCCATGTACTCAACTACTTGGAGGGTCGGGGGACTTAGTAAGTAGGTAGTAAGCAGACTTATAAGTACCCTAGAAGGGACCCTTTAAGGGTTACTTTAAAGGTTACTATAAGGGTTTAGGGTGTAAGGGTCTATGTACCCAAGCAGGGATCCTTTAAGGTTTCCTTTAAGGGTTCCTTTAAAGGTTACTATAAGGGTTTAGGGTATAAGGGTCTATGTAGCCAAACAGGCATCCTTTAAGGTTTCCTTTTAAGGGTTACTATAAGGGTTTAGGGTATAAGGGTCTATGTACCCAAACAGGGATCCTTTAAGGTTTCCTTTAGGGGTTACTTTAAAGGTTACTTTTAGGGTTTAGGGTGTAAGGGTCTATGTACCCAAACAGGGATCCTTTAAGGTTTCCTTTAGGGGTTACTTTAAAGGTTACTACAAGGGTTTAGGGTGTAAGGGTCTATGTACCCAAACAGGGATCCTTTAAGGTTTCCTTTTAAGGGATACTATAAGGGTTTAGGGTATACGGGTCTATGTGCCCAAATAGGGTTCCTTTAAGGGTTACTACAAGGGTATAAGGGTTACTTTCAGGGTTTAAGTAGGGTATAAGGATCCATGTACCCAGATAGTAGGCACTTACGTAGGCCTTAAAGAGGTCCCTAGATTCGTGCTTTGGGGCCAAAGTCTATACTACTCGTATTTGGGTACATGGGTTGTTTGGGATCTTGGCTTGTAGAGTACCTTGGGGTTTAGGGTTTAGGGGTTTAGGGTTTAGGGTCTACAGTACCTTAAGCTACCGCAACCTGCTTTTTTCGTAGGGTCCTTTTGCATGCCATGTCAGGCGTTTGCCATAAAACCTAGAATAAAGCAGGTTTCGGTAGCTTAAGGTGTAGAGATTGCAGTTGAAAAGCCAGGCATTTGCATGCGCGTGCAACCTAAACCCTCGATTGTAGATAAAGAGTATAGGCCAGGTTATAGATAACATGGTAGATAAGGTTGTATTTGTCACTGTTCAAGCCAGGCCAAGTTCTCCCTACACTCAACCTAGTTACTCGCTACGTTCCCATGCCCCTGATCTTCAGGTCGAAATTTAAAGCTTCACTGGATTAGGGTTGAGAGCTGTGGAGTTCTAGGTTGTCATGAGAACGCAACAGGCTTTCGTGCCACCAGGGTATCCTGAAAACGTTGAAGAATGACCTCGTACTCCATGAGCTAGTATCTGCCTCAGGATCGGTAGCATGTGCGGACGTGAGAGGCTCTCGAATATGATTCTGCAAACCTGAAGCCCTTACTTTGTTCGCAGTACTTTGGTCCTCATCACCCCCTGCTTCCCGGTGACCTCATGCCGTACTTGTTTCAGTTCTCAACCCTAAGCCTTTAGACCCTAAACCGTTAAACCCTATGCTAGGGCCTAAAGCCCAGAAGTCACGGCATAATTGGCTGATTGGGGAATTGATCGGGGTACGTGGCCGGTACATGCCAGCAGGTTAGAAGTATGTTTTGAGCTACTACCAATAAGTAAAAACACAGCAAGTAAACAACTACCTATCTATACAGATGTATATATATATATACGCATAGAATGTAGAGTATATGTATATACATGTGTGTATGTAACCTCTTACTACTACTACTACTACTACTACTACTACTACTACTACTACTACTACTACTACTACTACTACTACCACTACTACTACTCCTACTCCTACTCCTACTCCTACTCCTACTCCTACTCCTACTCCTACTCCTACTCCTACTCCTACTCCTACTCCTACTGCTGCTGCTGCTGCTACTACTACTACTACTACTTCTACTGCTATTTTGATTGCTACTGCTGCTCCCGACATTCTTACTATTAAACATGATTATGATTACTGTTCTTATAAATTTTATTACTTCCAAAAAATGCTGTTCATGCATTTGGACCCGTTTTCAGAAACATGTTGACAATGATTTGTACTTGCTCTTTCCGCTGTCCTGAAGCATGACATCCACTGGAAGTTCAAAAACTAGGATGCCCAGTGGCACCCTTATTCCTTTTTTGTAGTCCTAGGCTCCTTATAAAGATACCCAATACCAAAAAGAGAGGCCTTTTTTATTCTCAGGTTACTGGGCATCCTAGAAAAATAGTACTTGGAGGCCCTTTTGACTTAGCAAGTAGGGTTAGTAAGGTGGGTTATGGGGATTTTCATAGGATTTCTAGGGGATACTAAGTAGACTTACTAAGTCAAAAGGGCCTCCAAGTAGAGCCTCCCGAACCTATATTATAGATAGTCTTTGAAGTCTTCGCAACAAAGGCCGAAAAGGACGAGGTACGCACAACATATACGGGACTGCCCGGCGCTTATGCTTGGTATTGAGTTTGGGGTTCGGCTTTAGGACTCGGTTGAGGGTCTACCCGTATCTTTTAAGGAGTTTGGTATTGACTCGAGCAGACTTGTCTAGTCTTCTGATCAACACCCCTGTTTACCTTAAGCGCTAATGCCCGAAACTTGAATGCCCAAAACATTGTAGTTATATGAGCCCTACAGCACACCAAGTTGACTTCTAGAAGCCCCTCCCTCAAAAAGGTGGGGGTGCAGGATTGTGTCCAGGGTGCATGCCGGGTAACACCAGGCGGGTGTTGGGTGTCAGGTTTAGGGGTTTACGGTTTAGCCTTGAGTTTTTTGTTGTTCTTAACGGCATCATGCCATCGCCACTTACAGGTTCAGGAGACTTACTGTGTCGTCTGCGAAGCAAGGAGTGCGGCAATTCGGCCTACAGTACTGAATTAGACTTTGTTTTAACCAACTGACTAAGTGCGTTGACAATCTCGGTAGGTTTCAAAAGCTGTGAATCTTACACAATGTGGGTCAGCGACTGAAACGCTCTCACCTTCGACGAGCCGGCCGTACGACCGTGGTGCCCTCAAGATCAAGGAGCACGCCGAGGTGACGGCCCCTGTGGAATACCGGGGCCCCGCTCTCAAGGACTGGGCTTTTGCTTACCTTTGGTTAGTAGGGAATGGAAGAATGGCAGTAATAGTATTTATAATTGTACCCCATTCTTCCATTCCCTACTAACCAAAGGTAAGTTTGGGGTGAGGATTGGGAAAAGGGCGACGTGCTGTCTTCTGCTGCTGCTGAAAGCGAGTCTCCTCGTGCCAGACGACTGAAGCGCACGCTGGCAGCTTTGGTGCTTCTGACGTCCTTTTGAAACCCCGCAAACCTTTCTGAGTCCCGATTGTCTAAATCTGAAGGCCCCAATACTGACTCGAACTCAAGTCAGCAGCCCCGAAGCGTGAAAACTCGACCCTCTAAACCCCAAGTCCAAAACTTAAGGCAGAACCCCATTTCATAAGGCTAGATTTGGGGGAGATTGGTTGATACCTTCGTTGAGGGGATTGGGTTTCGGGTCTAGGGGGCATAGAGGGCCCTATGTCGGTTTCGTGAAGCCCACAAAATACACCCTACCTTGACCCTGAAGAACCTACCTTTTTCAGGACTTATGTAAGGAAATCATAATAGGGAACACCAAAAAAGGTAGGTTGTTCAGGGTTAAGGTAAAACCTACACAGCAGAGGCCGCTGAACCAGGCGCAGGAATACGTTGGTGCCACGCCATCGAATGTATATGGGTAGTCTTTAAAAATTATGGCCTGTTGTTGGGTACCCTGAATATTGGGTGCCGTATTATACTCATGATCCAAAAAAGGGACCATAATTTTGACAGCCACCCATAAAGGAGTCTCCGAAAATAGGGGACCCTAAGATAGTACCCTGAAATAGGATCCTTGTTATAAGGACCCCGAAATAAAGTACCCTGAATTTTCGGAAACTCCCATATTCCTTCATCCCCTGAGACTCAAACCTCAGGGTTTTAGGGATTCCGCCATACAGGTGAGAGGGTTTAGGGTTTAGGGGTTCAGGGTTTAGGGTTTAGGGTTGAGGTAAGCTTCAAACACAGGTTACTACCTTCAATACCTTGCCTTCTCAGAGTGCACACGCGATCCAAAGTTCTGGGAACTTCGGAACCCCGGACGGAACTCGATCAGGCGAACGCCACATTTATGAAAACCCTAAGGTATGTGTAAAATCGTCTCGTTCATCTCAACCTCATTAAGGCCGGTCCGTCTTAAACCTTCAGCGGTATGCGAGCAGCCGCCATATTCCCCTGAACACTTAAAGCTAGGTAGACCATTGAAGCATTACATGTGTGTATGCATGTATGTTTAGATATATACATATATATATATATGTATGTATATAAATATATATATATATATATATATATATGTTATGCACACATGCAAATGCACATCCACATGCACAGGTACACATATACGAACATACATGCAAGCATATCTCGTTGCAGGCTTTCTGAGAAACCCAAACAATCCTGGTCCTAGACCTCCACACAACCTTCGAGAAACTGAGTATATAAGCACAGAGTATACAAGCACAGAAACTCCTTTTGCAGGAAAGTTTAGCCATGAATTTTTCGCCTAACCTCTCAAGCGTCAAAAAAATGAAAACCCTGCGACTACACCCTAAACCCTAAACCCTTACGGGCACGTTTGCGGTAGCCGACCCAAACACTGCAAAGCAGTATAGAACTCTGCCTGGACCTTGCGAAACCTAATATAGGGCCTGAATAATTACCTGTCCTATTTTGGGGATGATGATAGATAAATATAAGTATAGTATACTGGGTCCGAAAACCCTATTGTAACTATTAAGGCGCCTCCATTACAAGTTCACGGTTTGGGGGTCAGGGTTTTTGGCGAGAATGCCTTTTCTTCCCGGGGGGGGGGAAGACGCTGAGTAACATCTCGGAGAAGGTGAACTCTTCCAGATTTTAATAGTGTATAGATCTATGAACTGAACCCTAAAGAACCAGGTTTTCTTTCAACAGGAAAGGAATCGCTGAAATTAAAACCCTGTGTATAAGCCTTCTAGTACCCATGTAGAACCCCTTTAAGAAAGCTCACGTAGCAACCCCGAACAAGGAAGCCACGTAGGAACTCCTGCAGGATCCAGTACAGCCTAAGCCACCTAAACCTGAACCCTAACCCCTTAAACCCCAAACCCTTAAACCCTGAACCCTAAAACCCTGAACCCCAAACCGTTTGTAATGCAAGCAACCAATCTGTGGTATAAGAGTTATGGTCTAAAACCCCAAACCCCTAAACCTTGAACCCTAAACCCTCAAATCCCAAACCCCTAAACCTTGAACCCTAAACCCTTAAACATCCCCAAACCCTTAAACCTTGAACCCTAAACGCTTAAACATCCCTAAACCCGTAAACCTTGAACCCTAAACCCTCAACCGTAAAGATCCCCAAGCCCCTAAACCCTAAGATCCCTATGGATCCCTTAAAGGAGCCCTTAAAGGAATCCCCTAGCCCCTAAAGATCCCCAGGCCTGAGAACGCCGAAGAGAAACTCCGAGAACTCCGCGACAAGTCGCAGGCCGAGGCCAAGAGAGATTCCATTTTGTTTTAGGGCTTAGGGTCCCAGACCTTCCAAAATCCCTTAATTAAGGAATTTACCTTAATTCATATTAGGGATCCTTCTATAATTTAAAGTATATTCCTTAATTAAGGGATTTTGGAAGGTTTAGGGGTTTAGGGTTTAGGGGTTTAGGGTTTTGGGGTTAAGGGTTTAGGGGTTTTGGCGATTTAGGGTTTAGGGTTCAGGGTTTAGGGTTCAGGATTTAGGGTTTAGGGGTTTAGGGGTTCCGATTTTTTATTTAGGGGTTTGCGGCTTTACCCTAAGGCTCCAAAGTAGTTCCTTTTTGGGGTTCATATCTCCTATAAGGTAATCCCAACAAGGAACTACTATAGAGCCTTTGGGTAGGGTGCAGGTTTTAAGGTTTGGGGGTTCGGTTTCGATTTTAGGGTTTGGGGAGGGCTTTCGGGGCCTAGGGTTTAAGGGTGCAGGGTTCAGCGAAAACAGTAGCTGTACCCTGAATCGTTCGGGGTTTAGGGTTCAGGTCTGGGAAGTCAGGTCTTGCACTTTCTCAAAACGGCTGGGCAGGTGATGGGGTCCGCAGGTATAAGTAGGATCTCACTTTGGTCTTCTGTGTTTTGTGTTTTCGCGACGTCTTATACAAGAGGAAACACACATACAACCAAATAAGTAGGTTCACACAGCGCGAGAGAGACAACAACCAGACAGTTTTCTGTGACACTAGAACACTCTGGAAGCCCCAGTGCAGAAGCTCTAAACCTCATATACCCTCACAGATACTCCACCAACAGAATCCCGAAGACGATGCTCAGATCGATGAGTGTCTCAAACAGTTCTCTTGTCCAGTACGACTTTGGTTTTCCTGTGCAAAACTGAACAACAGACTCAACCCTAAACCCCTAAACCCTACCTAAACCCTAAGCCCTAAACACTGGATCCCTAGGCCCCTGAAAAGCTATCGTGAAGCTTACTCTGGAAGACCTGTTGAAACCTTGTCAGACCTGTACAGCACGTTTGCTCGGCATCCGGCTTTTTCTGGGGCCCTCAAACCGAAGCCGCTGGACATGTGAAGAGCTCTTCGCACAGCACGAACAGATGGAGACGCACGGCATTACCACCCACGCGTCGGCCACCAGCTCTATGCTGGTGATGCTGGATATGGTCCGGATGAAGGACGACCGCAAGGACGGTATGACTCCGGCCGAGGCACAGCGTGCCAACGATGAGCAACGTGAGCGCACCAAACACGTTGGCTCACATCCCGACATACTTCGGGACCCAGGACGTATGAGACCCCAAAAGACCCAAAGGGCCCATGAACCCCTTTAAGGGTTCCTTTAAGGGTTTAGAGTATAAGGGTCCATGTACCCAAACAGTATATACTTTGGCCCTAAAGTACCCAAGTTGGGATTACTTTAAGACCTCAGTATATACTTTTTGGGCACATGGATTTTTAGGAAAACAGACCCAATGGCTGGCTCGATAGGAGATGTCGGATACATCGGGCAAACCCAAACTCGGCCCCAAAATCCTTTCATGAGCCCTACAAGGAACCCCTAATTTTGGGGCCTAAAATGATTACAAATACTATTGTGGGAGGTTCCTGATTAACACGATAGTATATTAGTTACTATACTATACCCCAAAACCCTATTCCAATTATTAAGGCCCCTTTTCTATAGAACTCTACTATAGATCAATATAGAACCCTTCAAAGGACCTTTGTAAAGGAACCTTATTCTAATTATTAAGGCCCCTATATTACAAAACGTCCTCAACCCCCCCCCCCCCCCCCCCCCCCCCCCCCCCATTTCAGATCGACAGAGCCGTCGACGCAGAGCGACTGAAGCTGATCGGGATCCAGAAGTGCCCAAGACTTAGCTATGGCTCTAAGGACTCACATACTAAGGCTTTTGGGCCCATAGACCATAATATATAAGGCTTTTGGGCTATGTTGAGCCCCAGGCCAGGGTTAGCTATGGCATATCTAGCCTCCCATTAGCTACTGATTGATATTAGGGTTCAGGGTCATGTGTCTGTCTGTCTGTCTGTATGTACCTATGTGTGTATGGACGCATGGATGTATGCTTCGATAAACGGACGGGGATGTGTCCGGTTTAGGGCTCAGACCTTTTATGCTGTGGGGCCCTTATGCAACATCCCTTTCAGGGTGGTCACTGTTTGTGTAGGGCGCTTCGAACCGTGGTGCCATCCGAAAGGCACCATCAGCACTATCCTTCGTGTATGGGCTGCGCAGCCTGAACACGTCGACCCCGGAAGACATTCTTCGTTCATGGAGCTCCACAGCCCCGAAGAGTGACCAGGTGACCAGTCCCAGATGCATGGTGGTGCAGCCGCTCCGCAATTTGAAGGACCTGGTGGAGAAGCTGCAGACGTGTGTGTCCCTGTTCGGGTGGGACCAGTGCCCATTCTCGGATGACGCGTTATCATCCAAGAAGATATATCCAGGATCGAGATGCCGCACCAGCAAGGTTCCGAAATCCTCTGCCTGGTTTAGAGGTTTAGCAGCTTGGAGGTGACGGAGGAGTCATACATGCCCAGACCTTCCAAAATCCCTTAATTAAGGAATATACCTTAGTTCATATGAGGGATCCTATTATAATTTAAGGTATATTCCTTTATTAAAGGATTTTGGAAGGTCTGGGTGCTCTTTGTCGACATGGTGACAAGCCAGCACGGTGCAGCACCAACCGGATGCTGCTCGAAGTTGTCGAAGTCCACAGTCGAGGACAAATCGGAGATATGCGCCGGTGCAGGTTTCCTGCAAGAGCATAACTAGGATGCCCAGTAGTACCCTTATTCCCTTTTTGTAGTCCTAGGTTCCTTATAAAGTTACCCAATACCAAAAAGAGAGGCCTTTTCATTCTTAGGTTACTGGGTATCCTAGATAGGATCCTTGAATCATTGTAAGGGGCGCGTAATAGGGATAGATCGCTGGGGATTGTTTCGGAACCTTAAGCCACAAGAACTACTATGGAGAAAAGCGGATTACTAGGTCCTAAGTCATCTACCACTCTTGGACTTCGGGAGTTCGGAACAGAGAAACAGCGCCGTGCACTTCATCTGCCCTCCAACAGCGTTAACAGTGCCCTGCATTCACCCGGCCGGAGTTGTGGATTTCATGGTGTTTCGGCGGCAAGGGCTTAGATCAGAACTTAAGGATGAAGGTTGCAAAGACCAGCGTTTCAGGGCTGTGCCTGCTCACTTCTGTGCTAGTGTGACCGGCTGAAGCTGAAAACGAAAAGGTATCAGGTGCTGACAACTTCTCGCGAAACCCTTAAACTAAAATGCTAAACCTCTAAACCCTTACTTTCAATCAACTCTAAGCATGTAAGTTTGTGTCGCTAAGATGTTTGATTGAAAACCATCCATATACACATTATGACGAAGTTGTAGTAGAAGTAGGCCACGGCCCCTCTATCAAGCTCTATCAAACGCGGTTCTGGCATCGACTGCTAAACACCAGCTCCTACACCCCGCAGTTTGAATCCTTGCATGACTCGGAACCCCAAATCCCTCACCCTGAACGCAGAGAACAGATGATGGTCCTAAAGCCTCAACCTCACATCCCAATCCCTAAACCCTAAACCCTGAAACCCTAAACCCCTACACACCAAAACCCCAAAACCCCAAACCCGTTAACCCCTAACCCCTAAACCCCTAAACCCTAAACCGCCAAAACCCCTAAACCCCTAAACCCCTAAACCCTAGACCCCCAAAACCCCTAAACCCTAAACCCTAAATCGCCAAAACCCCTAAACCCTTAACCCCAAAACCCTAAACCCCTAAACCCTAAACCCCTAAACCTTCCAAAATCCCTTAATTAAGGAATATACTTTAAATTATTCAAGGACCCCTAATATGAATCAAGGTATATTCCTTAATTAAGGGATTTTGGAAGGTCTGGGACCCTAAACCCTAAACCTCCAATCCCTCCTTAGACCGACTCTGAGGCTCTGAAAGGCATGAGAAAATTTTGAAGCAAGTGGCCTGGATCCCGGCGTTTTGGTGAGGCCAAGAGAGGTTCCAGGGTGTGGGTTTGGGGCCTTAATTAAGGGATTTTGGAAGGTTTAGGGTTTAGGGGTTTAGGGTTTTGGGGTTAAGGGTTTAGGGTTTTGGGGTTTAGGGTTTAGGGTTCAGGGTTTAGGGTTTAGGGTTCAGGGTTTACGGTTTAGGGGTTCCATTTTTGTTTTGAGGGTTTTGCGGCTTTACCCTAAGGCTCCAAAGTAGTTCTTTTCTGGGGTTCATCTATATAAGGTATTCCCAAAAAGGAACTACTATGGAGCCTCTGGGTAGAACACATGAGCTCGGTGTAGGGATCAGGTGTTGGGGTTGACGATAGTTAGCGAGGGTTTGCGGTAACTTTGGTTGCAGGCTTCCGCCCAGAGTTTGAGATGGTTTAAGATTTGTAGTGCTTGGGGTCTAGAGTTATTGGTTTCTTGGGATGTTTATTGATCGAACTTGCTCTCTCTTGTTCGGGCCGTACGTTTTCTTTGATGTGATGCCTAACTCCGAAGGAAGTTACCAGGATGTTGCCTGAGTTTTTGCACAGCAAACCTCGGCAGTTCCTGAACGATTGTTAAAACTTGACCCTTAAGATACGAGTGTCGGGGCTAGGGTGGCAAAGCACCAACCCCTAAGGGTCCAAGTACCCAAACAGTAGGGTTTCAAGGTCCAAAAGTCATTCAGGGTATGGATTTTGAGATCTAAAGCCCTACTGTTTAGGTACTTGGACCCTCTGGGAACGTGGGAGCAACTTGCCTCCAAACTGCCAGACCCTAAGCCCCGAAAAGCTCATCATGACCCTAAACCCAAGGCTCCAAAGTAGTTCTTTTTTGGGGCTCATATATACAATCCTATAAGGTAATCCCAAAAAGGAACTACCTTGGAGCCTCTGGGTAAACCCTAGACCCTATATTTAAGGGTTTAGAGTTTAGCGTGTCAGGATTCCTTTTTAAAAGCTCCTTTGAGGTTCTTTACATCTGCGACTAGGGTGCAAGGCTTTTTTAACCTTCACCCGCTCCCGAGAAATTCGACTTGGGTTAGGGTTTCTTAAGAACCTTTTGTTTGGAGTACCATACTTCATTGCTTGTTTGGAGCTGTTCCTGAAAGGAACCCTAAAAAAATCAAAGTCTATACTTTTGTCCCTGGTTAAGTCACAGCCCAGTTAAGGATTTCTTAGCCACAGAGTCTTCCAGTAAATACTATGTGTCCAGTACCTAAACTTCCTGTGTGAAGTCATAAGGATTGCTGCTTGGGGTTCCCGAGGGCTCTGCAGCTATGGGTAGAGCTTGTGCGCAACAAGTATTACACCCTGTAGCCTAAACCGATGTAAACGGCGTTCATCTGATCCTTAACCCAAAGACCATTGCACTGTACCTGACTTTCAGCAATCTTGCCGTGATTTTAGGCTGCAGGGTTTAGGGTTCAGAACTGTTCAAGCCTTGCAACAGCCTCAAGAAAGCCCGAACTGATTCTGGATCAGCCCCCGCAGCAAGGATAAGCAGCGAGCAGAACAGCATGAGAAGCTCGTAGAGTCCATGAAGCGCCTTGGCTTGGTTTTCTGTACGAGGGCTGTAGGTGGTGTGTTGTATAGATCCGATGGAGATGCATCGGGTGTTGATGTTTGTTTTTTCTACAACTTGTTGTCGAAAACAAATGTGGGCATTCCTGCTAAAGGGAGTAGGCTTCTGTGTGGGGTTGTGGCAACAGGCTGAACAATCCCACACCCCTACCCGAAAACTTTGACTATGCTGCTATGCTGCCAACAACAAGGCCAACGGGCTAAGGGTGTACACAATCTTGAGGGTGCATTTCGTCTTCAACGCCGATCCCTGATGAATAAGGCCCCCCGTTTCCCAAGGGCCGTAACATGAGGAACATCAGTGTAGGCAGCTTAGTAATCAGGCATCTACAATACGGTTCTTCGGAAACGAAGCCTCAACCCATCGTCTCCATTGTAGTTCAGCTTTTTGCTGCACCAGTTCTTGCCTGACTGACAAGGCAACCAAACAAGAACACCGATGGAGACTCAATCTCAAAACCTTAACCCTGAACCGCCCTGAACCCTGTACCTTCAAGCTTCCGATGTCTAAAACTCGGACCTAGAGTGGGCCCTTATTCCCTTTTTTGGGGGTTCCGGTTCCCTTATAAGCCCCTTTAAACCAAAAAGGGCACCCTTTTTATTCCTAGGCTACTCTTGGGCCTAGAAAAACTACTTGGAGGATCAGCGGACTTGCAAATCTGCGCTACAAGGAAGCCAACTATAATTGTATCTGCTTACGGCCGTAGCTAAGGTACTTATAACCTACTCAGTCACTCATAGAACCCCTACTTGGAGGCCCTGTTGACTTAGTAAGTCTACTTAGTACCCCCTAGAAACCCTATTATCCCCATAACCCACCTTACTAACCCTACTTACTAAGTCAAAAGGGCCTCCAAGTAGAAACCCTTCGAGAACCCTTACTCAGTCGCACGGTCCTCCAAGTACCGGTTGTGCAGGGCCCGGCAAGCAAAGAGAGACAAACAGGTCGGTTCCTCTTTGTTTTGCTGGGCTTTTGGGGTCCGGGGTTTTGGGGCCTAGGGTTTGGGGTTTTGGGGGGTTTAGGATTCAGGGCTTACGGTTTTGGAGTAGGGCTTTTAGGGTGGCTTTAGTTTAGAGTGGTTCCTCTTGGTGTTTCTTGGCCTTTGGGACGTGGGTCTTTGTGTTGTTGGGTTCAGGGTTTAGGGTTCCAGGGTTTTAGGGATTTACAGTCCGGCATTTAAGGTTCTCTTCATTGTAGTTCCTTTTCGGGGTGGCCTTTTGAGATCAAGAACATGGAAGTGGTTAAGCCCAAAAACAACTACAATGGAGACTACGTTGCTAATAGATCCCGACGACTAAGCTTTGTCACCTGGTCTTTAAGGAAGCCCCTTGGAATGCGCCTGCCAATACTCGACACAACATCGGTTTCAGACGCCCAAGTCGAGTGTTCAAAAGACAAGTGGGCGTCCTGCCAGACCCAAAGGGTCCTATGTACCGACATAGTAGAATGTAGGGTTTCCATCTTAGGAATTACTATTATGACTTAGGGAAGTATTCCCCATAACAGTACATAGGACCCTGTGGGAGAGGCTGTCCTACCATCAGTTGAGGGTTCAGGTCTACGGGGGTTTCTGGTTTAACTAACCACTGATATTATGGGAGCTAAGGAGCCACGGATGATGATAATCCCTATTAAATAGGGAGCTAAAGAGCCAAGGGAACCCCCAAAACCACTGGCTAGTTAAGGCAGGGGGTTTTACGGTGTTAAAGGTTTGTGTTTGAAGCTCGGGTTAGGGTGTAGGGTTTTCCGACCATCACCGATCAAGGCATGCTTTCTTCTCAGATCCTAAGGCACCAGAAACCCCTCAATGCTAATCCCTGAACCCTAAAAACCCTAAGCCTCAACAAATACAAATCTAGACCATGCAAGGTCCTTGCATGGTATTTTCATTCAATGCGAGTTCCCCAAAGATCCATGTACCCAAATAGTATATACTTAGGCCTTAAAGTAGTCCCTACATGGGTACTTTGGGACCAAAGTATATACTATTTGGGTACATGGACCCTTAGGGAAAATAACCTAGGAATACAAAGGGCTGCCTTTTCTTATAACCCCAGTTAAGGTACTTATAACCTTACTTACCAAGTCCCATGATCCTTCAAGTGCATGGGTACTTTGGGGCCAAAGCCTTTGGGTTTGTTGTCCAGGCAGAGGCGATGGATAAGAACCTCAAAGACATGCGCAAGGAGCCACGTCCGGGGTTTCGGGGAGCCTAAACCCTAAACCCTAAACTTAGGGGTACTCAGAAATATAATTTTTAACTTTTGGTTATCATACTCCCCAAAAAACAGCTGAAGTTGCAATTTTTGCTAGGGTTCTAAGTTCAGTATAGTAAACCCTTAACTCTAAACAGGTGCTTCGGGGGCCCCTTGTTAGGTTTAGCTTTTGGGTTCAGGGCATTGGGTCTAGGGTTTAGTGGGGCCATGGTTTGGCTTCCTCCTTGTTAGGTGCCTCGGTCAAAGGGGAAAAGGAGGGACCCTTAATGGGGACCCTTACCCTATAATGGGCTATATAATGGGTATATAATAGCTAAAGAAAAAGATATATACCTAGGGGTCCTTATTAAGGGTCCCTCCTTTTACCCTTGGAATCGGGGCTGCGGCGGTTAGGGGTTAGGGCTTCGTGGAGCCATGTTTGGGTGTCCTTTTTGTTAGGTGCATCGGGGCTAAGGGGGTAAGGGTTTAGGTGAGGGTTGATAGGGTACCTCAGGGGTACTTAGATTTTTTTTTAATTTTTGGTTATTATAATCCCCAAGAAACACCTAAACGGGACCCTAATTGGGGTTATGGTACTTATAAGTCCCTAAAATAATCAGTTACTAAGTCCCCCTAAACCCTATACCCTTATAGAATCCCTATAGATCCCTTTAAAGGGGCTAAGTCCCCCGACCCTCCAAGTAATGATGTCCCATTGCAACCCGAAGCCCCTGGTCTATTCCATTCTCTTCTCTTGGTTGTCCTTTGGGATCTTTTTTAACTTCCCCTACTCTCTTGTATAGAACCATAATAGTAAATATTTTTCAGAGGGCTTGAAGGACAACTCAGTTCTACTCTATTCTATTATGTTGCTTTGTAGGGTTCGCAGCGACAGACATACTCCAAAGCTAGTTCTCCCAAACTTTTCACTTGTATCTCCGCGGTTTTGGGGCCGAGATGAAAAGCCCTCTAGCTTCAGGGGATGTTCCTTCAAAGAGGACCCTAACTATAGAGCCCCATCTCAGTGGGACCCAATGCATCGTAGTAGTGTAGGTATCCTTTAACCTTTTTTGGGTAGTATAGTCCCTATCTAATCCCTATATAGCCACTAAGGTTAACCTCTAGATCCCCATGATACCCGACGAGTAGGATAGAGCCCCATCTCCGTGGGACCCCTTTCTAGAACCCTAGAACCCATAGTTCCCTTCGACCTTAAACCCTAAACCCCCCTAAACCCTAAACCTTCGATGGCACATGGGACTTTCTGGCCCTTTCCAGGAGAGTGGCCAGCTCATCCGGAAACTGAATCAGGCCTTCAAGAAGGCCACCTTAGGGTTCAGGGTTTAGGGGCAGGGGGCTCCGAGGTTTTGGGTACAGGCGAACTTTATGATTCGAAAGCTACATTCATCTACGAGAGTCTCGGTTGCCATTAAGAAGTCCAGGAGATTCCCAAAATTCTCAGCAGCTTTCTTAACCGACACATCCAGGGATTGATTGAACCCAGGGTCTTTGCAACTGAAGCTTGGCCTTACTCATTATGCTGCCGGTGACATCTGCATATACATGTACATGTTCATTGATGTATGTCGTATGCCGAGCCCTTCCCAACCGTTGTTTAACTGTGGCGTCTTCCGCATAGTTTGCTAGCAATTTAAATCGAAGACCCTGCAACGTGCCACACTCCGTGTCTTACACCCTTAAGGCCAAAGCCTGAACCTGTGTTCGCTGTAAGCAGGGTTTTGCTCCCTGAGGCTGCTTACCCTGAGGGTCCATGAACCCAAATAGTAAATACATTTGCCTTAAAGTATTCCCTATTTGGGTACTCTGGGGCCACCCTATTTGGGCACTCTGGGGCCAAAGTATCTACTATTTGGGCACATGGACCCTTAGGGTTTTGTTTGCTCCTTAAGTAGACGTACACCTTTGTGCCTGTACATGTTCTGCGTTTGCAGGGGAAGCCTGCCCGTCGTTAACCAAACCGTAACGCCACCTTGAGACCAAGCGACATGTTTTGGAGCACCAGACAGGCTTAATGCAGTCAAATTCCCAAACCATAGCTAAAATAGCCTGAAGCCCTAGACCCTGAACCCAAACCTTAAACAAACCCAATGATGACCTAAAGGTGGATGAGCACAAAGCGCAGACGCTGGAGAATTGGCAGCGGGCACCTCCCTGAGAAGGGTGGTACGGTTGGTGGTATAAATCCTGCACTACACATAACAGGGAACATACAGTTTAGGGTCATCAATGTAATGCAGGTTTTATACATCAACCGTAGGTCAGAGTTCTGGTTTTTGGCTGTAGGATGTCAGGCTTACAGTCGAGTTTCCCGAAGCCCCCAAACCTTAAGCTTTCAACCCCAATGCCCTGAACCCCAACCCTCATTCACGTTTATCGTTTCTGTTTCTTGCTGTCAGAGCTTCAGGTGTAAGGTTTCGGTGGGCTAAGTTTAGGGCTAGACCCCCCGACTACGCTCTAATATACCACCCAAATACCCACTATGAAGGACCATAAGGGCTCTTTGAAAGGGCTCTTGGGGGTCCTGGTAAAGTTCAAGCATCCGAAGTTGCCTAAACCCAAAACAGTTTGCCCTTGTTAACTTATCATAAGGACCCCCAAACACGGTACCCCTAATTCTTGGAAACTCCCATATGTGGCAGAAACAAAACATTGCCTGATGCGGTGATGCGCGCCTGCCACAGGTAAAGGAAGACCATGAGGAGAGGGGAAGCAGTGGATAAAGGTTTAGGGTTCAGGGTTTTTGAGTTTAGGAATACGAATTACCAATACTACTCGTTGGGGTCATTGGCGACAAGTAGAATGCAACATCCTGGCCGTGGTCTAATGCTTAAGGCCTCGCATATTAACGCCAAAAAATCCCTATTTGCAGGTGCCTGTCAAGATTTAGCGCCCCCTGCATTCATGGAGTGTCAAGGATGGGCTTGTTTCAAAGGGTTCGATGCGCTTCTACATTTTGGGCTTGTGTTAAAGTTCAAAGCCTCAGAGCTCGTGGAAGCGGCTCTCGAGAATGTGGGGATCCCTACTTTCCGGTGCAGGTGTCCAAAGACTTTGAGCAGGTGATGAGTAGGGTCCTTGCTGTGTTATATTCGCATGGCTGATGTTTGTGCGACTGACTCCAGTGCAGTGGTGACTTAGTCTGTACTGCATGTGCTCGTAGCGTCTTTTTATTTATGGGGCCAGTGGTTTGCTCCAATAGTCGAGTGAACTACTTCAGCTTGCAGTGCGGTTCGCCGCCAAGTTGTTTACACGAGGATCTGAAGTGATCGCCATCTCGATTGGCCGGGCCTTTTCATTTAAGGCTTGCTCTTGTCTCGCTAGCCGTTTCGTGACGGTGCGTCTGCAAAGCAAAAGCCGTGGACGTGAATATAATAACGAGACATTGCGGTCGTGGTGCTCCAGGGTTGGGATCCATAAAACCTTGGCGTTCGCCGAAGAGCATCAGTCGAACGGCAGAGCTGAAGCAGCGATCATGCGTATTAAGGGGCGAACACGCACAATCTTGCAGGGAGCGGGAGCGAAGCTGTGTGAATGGCCTCTTGCTGCTAAGCTGGCAGCTCACGAGCTGAGAGAGCTTGCCCGTAAAGCATTGAAGATGAAACCCCTGCCATCGTTACCATACAACACACAGATGGAGGTCATCCCAAGATCCTGGAAAAGGGGAGTGTGGCAGTCCGACGCTCTCGATGCTTATATAGGTTGTCGGTGCTTGGTTGCTTCTGCCGCCGTGCCCTTCTTTGTTCGCTGCCCGATTAAAGAGAGCAGAAAGGGTCACTTCGCATGAGCCGTCGGGAGTAGTACTCGGGAAGCTATAGAATAATAGTAGGACACCCCTTCTGGCTTCTGGGGGCTCTGTAAATCCTGTATGGGTCTGTGCAACCCTCCAGACCTTAAGACCCTCAAGCCGGAAATCCGTAACCCTTAACCCTGATTTGGGAGTTTGCGAAAATAGGGGACCCTAACAAAGTACCCTAAAGAGTAGGATCCTTATTATGAGGGACCCCAAAATAAGGTACCCCTAATTTTCGGAATCTCGAAACCCTAAACCCTTCATAGAACCCTTATAGATCCCTGTAAGGAACCCTTTAAAGGATCCCTTTAAAGGAACCCCTAATTCTCGGAAGCCATAAGACCAGATACTGTTTCACCATGCCTGAACCCTCGAAGAGTGCGAAGGAGCAGAAGCAGACGCAGAAAAAACAGGCAACAACTCCCATGCAACCCTTATAGATCCCTGTAAGGAACCCTTTAACGGATCCCTTTAAAGGAACCCCTAATTCTCGGAAGCCCTAAGACCAGATACTGTTTCACCATGCCTGAACCCTCAAAGAGTGCAAAGGAGCAGAAGCAGACGCAGAAAAAACAGGCAACAACTCCCATGCAACCCTTGCGCGAGGAGCACATTCGAAGTGTACAAGAGCGACGAGAGCACATGCTCATCTCATCCCAGGAGGCAAGATTCCCCAGCAACCCGCCTTTAAAAGGGTACTTGAAGGGTTCCTTTAAGAGATCTATAGGGTTTAGGGCTTTTAGTGTTTTTGGGGTTGTTAGGGTTGTAGGGTTTTTAGGGTTTACGTAGGGTTCTGTAGTAGAGTAGGCAACCTTTTACCTTTTTTGGGTAGTAGAGTCACTATATAACCCCTATATAGTCCAAAAGGTTAACCTTTAGTTCGTCATGATACCCGACAGGCAGGACTGGACCCAGAGACTCCAATATCCCTTAATGAAGAAATATTCCTTAAATCATATCAGGGATCCTACTAGAGTTTAAGGTACATTCCTTAATTAAGGGATATTGGGGTCTCTGGGGAGTTTATGGTGTAGAGCTCAGGATCTTGAGTTAGACCCTTTTGCCCTTGTTATTTTGGGGTCTCCTTATTCAGACAGAATAGTAGGAAAAAGGGTATCCTTATTATAACGGTGCCATTCAGACTCAGGAACCTAGTAGACCCAGACCTTCCAAAATCCCTTAATTAAGGCATATACCTTAAATTATATTACGGATCCCTATTACGAATTAAGGTATCTTCCTTAATTAAAGGAATTTGGAAGGTCTGGGGAGCTTAGGATCTTGTGTTTAAGGTTTAGGGTTATGGGTTTTGGGGGAGGGATTCAGGGTTGAGCGTTTCGGGTCTCGGGTCCAGGTTGCCGGAACGCTTTGTAATCCTGTTTTGTAGTAGGGTTCATGAGGCCAAGGCAGACAAGGACAACTAGGACCCAGAGTAGGCCCTTATTCCCTTTTTTGAGGCTTAGGTTCCCTTATAAACCCTTTTAAACCAAAAAGGGCACCCTTTTTATTCCTAGGTTACTCTTAGGTCTAGTAGTAGGGTTCATGCTTCTTCTTCTCATTATTACTACAGTAGATCTATGTAGCTTTAGGCTCTAGGGTTCTAAGCCCTAGGGGCTGAACACTAAACTCGACAACCTTACGCCAGAGGCTTAAAGTTTGAGGCTACGGCTCTCAGGGATGTGACAAACAACTCGAGTGGGTCAAGGCTACACCGTGCTGGCCCAAGGGCAGGCTGTGTCTTGGAGGGTCTACCTGTTAAATTCCCCAAAGGGTCCAAAGGACCCAATGGTTAGGTACTTGGGTTTAGGGTAGTAGTTATGTAGCTCAATAGAAAGAGAGTATATGAATATTAGGTACTGTTTCTTAGGGTTCTTTTAACACCAGACTTTAGGTTGGAAGTAGTGTTTGTTTTTGATGTGGCCCCGCGAGTCTTTTTAGATCGTCGCGGTCCAGGCCGCCCAGGCCCGCAGTGAGTGAGTGAGCATCGGGCTGGGTGGGGGGGGGGGGGCGGAAGCACAACCAACAACACACCACGTCTCGTTGTTTTTCCCCTAGACCTTCCAGAATCTCCTTATGAAGAAATACACCTAAATTCTAATACGATCCCTAAAATGAACTAAGGTATATTCCCTAATGAAGGGATTTTTGGAAGGTTGGGGTCCGGCCCCGGCGAATAGGTTGTGCGGGAGCCATCCGAGGCCAACAAAAATCGGACTCTAGAGGCCCCGGGGTGGACTTATAGGATCTTTAAGGGAGGGTGGTTCAAGGGGGGAGGGTATAAGGAATCCTTAGGGGACTGTAAGGGAACCTTAGGGAGTACTAGGGAGAATTAGGCTATACCCCCCTTGGGACCCCCCTCCCTTAAGGATACTACAAGGGACGGCAACAACACATCGACTATAGGGGGCCTTAAATAATTACTTATACTATTCTGGGCTTAATAATTGCCTATACTATTTTGGGCTGAATAATTGCCTATACTATTTTGGTGGTTCCATATAGTAGTATAACTGGCCACAAAACCTTATTCTAGTTATTAAGGCCCCTATATTAGGGACCGGTGACACGGGGCCGGAGCAAAAGGGGGCCACGACAAAACAAAAAAGCACTGGCAGTTTAGGTTCACGGTAATATAGTAGAAGCCAAAAAGTTAGAACCTCATTATCCCCATGCCCTTAAGGTAAAGTACAAGGGATCCAAGCATTAATCCTCCCAAAGCCACGTTCCAACTTTTAGGGTTTCGGGTTTAGGGTATAGAGGTTCCGGATGTCGGAGAACTCAGGACTATTCTCGCAAAACCTTCATACTTGGAGGGTCGGGGGACTTAGTAAGTAGTTATTTTAGGGACTTACAAGTACCATAACCCCTAGTAGGGTCCGTTTTAGGGTACTTATAAGTCTACTTACAACCTACTTACTAAGTCCCCCGACCCTCCAAGTAGTCCTTATTAGCTATTGGCGCTGAGGCAATGAAAATGGAGGGTTGCTGGGGCATCTAAACCCTAGACCCCAAACTGCATATTATGTAAAATACCAGTTTATATAACATGCATCTAAAGTCATGTTATGTAACGTAATGTAACTTAAGGCATAAAAGTTATGTATGTCATACTTTCGGACTAGGCAAGCGGAATTCACCAATCAGACCAATCCCAGCCTTGCTCGCCGCGGCCCTGTGAGGATCCAGAAAGCATAAGCATAGCTACCTCGTTTACTGGGATGCCCAGTAGTACCCTTATTCCCTGTTTGTAATCCTAGGTTCCTTGTAAAGTTACCCAATACCAAAAAGGGAGCCATTTTAAATCAAAGGTTACTGGGCATCGTAGTTTATGCCCTGACTCACTAAGTCCCATGACCCTCCAAGCCCTAAGTCTAAACACCTTAGGCCCAGCACCCTAAAAGTTTTAAGCCCCAGAATCTGAAGCCTAAAACAACCCAAAACCCTAAACTCTTACAGCCTAAATCCCTCTGCCACGGTTGTCTGAGTTTCTCGCATGTTCCGAAGTCGGTTTCTGTCAACTTCGTGTTTGGGTTGTTCAGTCCCGGTTGTTGTCGAGCTAGCTTACGAGTCTCTGCGGCACATTAGGTGTACTTGGCCCAGGGGTTCGACGATTTTTCCGAACTGTCCTAATGCTTTCGGCGCCCTGAAAAGTAGCACTTGTTAGAGCTCGAAGAGAACCAACGGCACTCCATAGGAGATTCCGGACCCTCGCAAGGAGACACCTGCAACTCTTAAACGCCAAAAAGTTAAGGGTTCAGGGTTTGTTGGGTCTCGGTGTGTGTGACAACTGTAGTTTGGCGTTTCCGCGCCTGGATGCCGTTTCGTGTTCGCAGGTCTGGAGGTCATAGGCAGGGGCAAAAACTACCAAGCTACAGTGCATTGTACGCAGACATCCCAATACCCCTTAATCAAGGAATATACCTTCAACCATAATATGAGGGCCTCTGTGATTTAAGGTATACTCCCTAATTAAGGGATATTGGGATCTTTGGGTAATCGCTTCTAAAACCTACCTGTAGGTTGCTTGATCCTCGAGGTTAGGTCCCGTCGTCTAACTAGGTTCTCGAGTAGTACCCTTTTGCACTCTTTCTTTTCGGGATATTACGGCCAAACACTAGGGAAAGGGGTACCCCTATTATTAAGGGGCCATTCAGGACCAGGAACCTAGCTCATAAATAACCCCACATCAAATCGGCAAGGTCTTTACGACCAGCCTGAGAGGTTTAAAGGGCCCGGACTCCGGCACACATGCATCGTGAAGCTGCGATCATCGGATGAACTACTACAGGGGCCTAATTATTTAGAATAAGGTTTTGGACGGGGCCCATTATACTTTACTTATAACAAGGACCCCCCCCCAAAAAAAAAAAAAACAAGAAAATAGTATTGGCATCTAAGCTGCGATCATCGGATGAACTAAAGGGAACTCCAGAAGTTGGAATATGGATTAATGGTAGGATCCCCTATAATTTACCTTAAAGGGGTTACGATAATGATATTCCGACTTTCCGGCTTCTATTGTAAGCTAGCTCCGGAATCTACGAATAGAACGACTCGGCCCATTACTTGGAGAAGCCAAAGAAGCCGATGGCTTTCGTTTTCATGAGGTTCTCGGACCTAGAGTAGGCCTCTCGAATTAAAAAGGGGGTTTAGGGTTTAGGGTTTAGGGGCTATAAGGGTTCCGTATATGGCTTAAGGGTTTAGTCTTATGGGTTCCAAGGACCTAGAGTAGGCCCTTATTCACTTTTTTGGGGTTCCGGTTCCCTTATAAGCCCCTTTAAACCAAAAAGTGCACCCTTTTTATTCCTAGGCTACTCTTGGGTCTAGGGTTGCTTTTGGTACGGCCCCCACTCAGTAACAGTTGGATAATATTCATAATATAGATCTATAAGGCCCTTAATAGTAGCCCTAATATAGACTGTTACTGTATGGGGGCCGTACCCAAAGGTTGCTGATGATGATGGCCAGCATGGTGCGGACGATGACCATGATGATGGTGATGTGACTATGGAGTTTATGTGATCGCAACAGCTGTGGCAGTGTTTAAAGGGCTTCGGCCTCACCACGCAGTGGATGGAAGGAAGTTCGCTCTTGATGCAGTAGCAAGCAGAGAGGGAGATCGTGGAAATGGTGTCGATTTCAGGGAACGACAGCATGTTGCTGAAAGCGATGGTTGCGCCTAATTATGTCACTTGGACGTGTGATGGCGCTGCCCCTGTTGTTAGTAGCTGTAGTGGCGGAAGCGGCGGGGGGTCGTAGCGGAGGTCGTACTGTTGGTAATGATGCCGAATTTACCGGCGATGTGTACGATCTGTTTTCCCGTCGCTGCAAACAGTGCTCCTGAATCCCGAATGCTCCTGCAACCCCGGAAGACCTGAACGTCCTGCAATATCGTCTAGTCAGACTTATAAACCGCCATGAATACGAAGCACAGGTATAGAGTTGAACACGTGGAAATTATAGGGGCTTCACGATTTTGCAGTTTTGTTTGCAATACTTGGTGTTTCCACATTGTGTAGGATTTCCACATGGTGTAGGATGGAAGGCTACGACTTCTGAATGCCGACAGGGCTTTGCAGACTTGTATGCTCCCACATAATTGTTCTTTTTTGGCCTGGAGTTCTTGAATTTTCTTCAGGAGATGGTGGAAACCTACTTGGACAAGGCCAGCGAGAATCCACGTGTTGTTGAATTCAGGTGCTAGTTGCTCCGCTGTAAAGACCAATGCCCTACCTGTGTAGGTTCACTGTAGATGGACTAGGGTCTTGCAGGGGTTTGATTTGTGGTTCGGCCTCCATCGTTGCACAGCCGTGCGGTCAGATGGCCCCATGACTTTGGGTGGAGCTTTTGGTTGTGGCAGCGTTGTAGGGTTTCTCATATGAGGGTAGGCGTGTTGCGGTACAACAGCATTTAAGTTTCATACGTTTCGACAGGTTGCGATGAAGGACCAGACCCATTCTGGTGTCCGATTTTTAGTGGTGTCCGGATTTTAGTGGTTTTATGTGCGCAAACCCCACCCATGCTTCCCAAACCCCAAAACCCAATGCTGAACCCGAATCGAAAACGGCTTGGCAGGGCGGTTTTTGGTTTTTCAAACGGGAAAAGGAGGGACCCTTAATGGGGACCCCTACCCCATAATGGGCTATATAATGGGTATATAATAGCTATATCAAGGGTATATACCTAGAGGTCCTTATTAAAGGAATCCTAAACCCTACACCCTTTATAGAATCCTTTTTGATCCCTTAAATACCAAGGGGTCCTTGTTAAGGGTCCCTCCTTTTACCCTTGGAGTTTTGTTGTCCATGTTGTGGACTCAGCCTCGGTAGAACTCGTCGCTGTATTTTTGAAGAGTCGCCAGCGACCCTGTTTCAATTGGCTAACCTTTAAAAAGGAACTCAGTAACTAAATCCTATGTAGTAGGCTTATATCGGAATCCAACATAAACAAAAGCGAGGTCAAGCCTGACGAAATTGTCCTGCAATATCGTTTACTGATGCTAAGCTTGTGCCAGCTTTATGCCACTTGGGCTGTTGTCTTCAAGCGGCAGTCGTCGGTTTGATCGGGTACAAGTTGCTGAGCATGCGCGGTTCAGGCACAGGCGTTTTTAGACGCAAACAGCATTATTTTTCGCTGACCTCTTAAATCCAATGGGGCTTCCGTCTCGCTCAACTGGGCTCTTTCAGCGTAGTCTTTCGGTGTTTCGGGTTCTGTTCCTGTATAAACAAAGGGATTTACCAAAAGCAAAGTATTCGCTTGCCCTTTTATATTAAAGAAGAGCCGGGCTTTTGAAGGCCAGCTCCCATCCATCGTGCCCTATGTCACAGTCCCCAGTTGTGGTTTTATGGTCCCGTATCCTACAGCCAATGTAGCGGCCTTGGCAAAAAGCATGGCTTTTTTGCGGTCCACTCTGTTATGCTTAGAATAGGAACCCCGAGGAATAGTCGTGGTAACTAATCGGACCTTTGTATTCGCTCTCAGGAGTTCCTCGATAGGGTGGTTTAGGGATCGGGGCTTAGGCCAAAACCAATACTACTATTTGCTTAAGAACCACCCAAAAAAATAAAAAATGATAATCCCTATATTATCCCTATAAGGAAACTATTTTATTTTTTGGGGGTTCTTAAGCAAATAGTAGAATAAGCCTCTGATAGGTCGCTTCTACAATAGAGGGCCCTAGCTAAGTACCTGGAGGGTCCTATACCCCTTCAGGGTTACCCCCTTCTTCAGGGTATCTTGTTTTATGGCTGGGCTCGTCTAGGATTTGGTATCTAGAAAGTAGGTGCCCTAAACAAGGGGTCCGAAGGAATGGCGCACACGGGAGCGACTGGATGAGAAGCGCGCCCGGGGCCCTGGAAATGCTGCTTGTGGCGGAGGGATCACCTTCAAACCGGAGCAAATGGGAATGCTTGTGCAAGTCTTAATGTCTATGTAACGTGCATTGTTCTGAAAGTGTTCTCAACCTGGCGCAGGCGCAAAACTTTGATTTGATTGAGACAGTGTTTTGTTGATCACACCTCTTGTCTTTGCTCTAACACAAGAGAAGGTTGCTGATTCAGGGGCTCTGACGCCCGCCGACTAATTGTATATTACCAAGATTGTGCAGCCATCACAACTGCCGCTACGACTAAGCCTGAACCCTCAAAGCCCGAAGCCTACACCCTAAGCCCTAACCCAAAAGCCTAAACCTAAGAAGAGGCTAAACCCGAAACCCCAAAACCAAACCCTAAACTTTCAAAAGCCCAAAACCCAAGGCCCCAGCAACCGAATCCTCATCCCCGAAGCCCCCCGATCGACCCGAAATCCACAGCTCTGAATCATGGAATGAGACCATAGTCAATGGAAAGGTTAACCGTTAGTTCCCCTAGGATACTGGACAAGTAAGTAGTCGACACGGCAATCTGTCCAAAGTAGTTTGTGGTCGTTCCAGACATACCCCTAGACCCTAAACCCTAACTTAAACCCTAAACCTGGCTAAACCCTAAACCCTGGCTAAACCCTAAACACTAGCGAAACCCTAAACCCTAGCTAAACCCTAAGCCCTAACTCTAAACCCTATAAACCCTAGCTAAACCCAGAGGCTCCATAGTAGTTCCCTTTTGGGATTACTTTGTAGGATTCTACATATGAACCCCCAAAAAGGAACTACTTTGGAGCCTCAGGTTAAACCCTAAACCCTGAACTCAAAGTCCTCTTCTTCATGGCGGAAGGACATGGGAGTCCTCATGTTCTGTAAAACCTTAGCCTTAGCCTAGGACCTAGAGTAGGCCCTAGGGTTTAGGGTTTTTAGGGGCTAGGGTTTAGGGTTTAGGGTTTCACTACCCAGACCTTCCAAAATCCCTTAATCAAGGAATATACCTTAGTTCATATTTGGGATCCTATTATAATTTAAGGTATATTCCTTAATTAAGGGATTTGGGAAGGTCTGGGTAGCTTAACCCACCAAGGCCAAGTTTTGGTAGGGTCCCTATAAAATCTACATGGGTAGTTGTCAAAGTTATGGTCCCTCTTTGGGTCCTTATTATAGTACGGCACCTAATATTTAGGGTACCCAAAAAGGAGCCATAATTTTGACAGCCATTCACATTAGGGTTTTTAATACGAACCTACAAAGCAGCAGGTTTTAGTAGGTTTAGGTACACCCTGATGGCTACAGCAGGGACGGCCGGTGTAGTTTGACTTAGCAGGGTTCGTAACAGTGACTAAATACATCCCTCTTGGGGTAGTTGGATGTAGATGGGTTTATTATGCTTTATGAATCAGGGGTCTTTCCGAAAGTTAGGGGTACCTTATGTGAGGGTCCTCATAATTAGGATCCTATAGGTACTATATTGGGTTCCCCCCCATTTTCGGAAACTTCCACTTGATCTTATAAGATCCTTGAACCAGAAAGCCCCAAGCCCAACAGCCCGAACCGTACCTAAACCCTAACCCTTAGGGGTTTAGGGTTTAGGGTTTAGGGCCCCAACCCTACACTGTATTAAACCCGAACCCTAAACTGTTTTCAACCCGAACCCTGAACCCCATACAGCCCTACCTAGAGTCTCTGTTGTAGATCCTTTTTTTGGTTATCCAGTTTTATGGTTAGGACCCTACAATCGAGATTCTAGTTCACCCACAACAGGAACTACAATGGAGACCATAGGTAAACCCCTGAACCCTGAACCCTAAACCCCTCAACCCCTGAACCCTACACCCTGAACCCTAAACCCTAAACCCCTTAACCCCAAACCCTACACCCTGAACCCTAAACCCTAAACCCCTAAACCCTAAACCCCTAAACCCTACACCCTAAACCCTAAGCCCTAAACTTTGAGCCTGGCAGCCAAACGAGGAACGTGAGCTGGAAAAGGCGGAGCAGGGCCAAGCGGACTTCATGGTGGCATGGCAGTGTTTAGGGTTTAGGGTTTGGGGTTTAGGGTTTAGGGGCAGGGCCAAGCGGACTTCATGGTGGCATGGCAGTGCTTTGAGGTTTAATTAATCTGGGGCATCAGAATAATTACAGTATTTAGCTATGATATCCCCCCCTCGAACCCCTATTATGAGTATGTACATTTTTCCGGTCCATCACCCACCAGAAAGCGTTGTTCGAATTATCTTGGGGCTTGTGTCCAAAATTCGGAGGTTTTCCTTTGCCTTCTAAGGAGAGTACCCAGACCTTCCAAAATCCCTCAATTAAGGAATCTACCTTAAATTATGATAGGGTCCCGAATATGATTTAAGGTATATTCCTTAATTAAGGGGTTTTGGAAGGTCCGAGTAGTTTGGGTCTCTAGCATTGAACTGTGGAGCTTTCTGGCTTTCGGGTTTGAGCCACCAGAACATCCGAAGAGCTCTTGGGTTTAGGGTTGGCAAAAGCGTCATAACACTCGCAAATATAATTTGAATTGACAATACTACCAATAAAGTAGCTAGTTTTGCATTTCAATTATATTTCGAATGATAACACAACTAAATGAGTTTACCAATATTTTTTACATGTTTCTCATACATATCAAAGTAATAGCGTTTCTACGGAGAGCGCAACAGGGTCAACATCCTTGCCTTGAAGGGCACGAGTAGGGTTTAGGGTTTGATGCTTAGGAGGGTTTAGTGTCTGTTCACAGGTCGGGGATAGGGATTAGGACTAATTAGGAGGGTTTACGATTTCGGGTTTGGGGTGCGTGCTCTAACGAGCTAGTCAATCTGCTTACACCCTAAACCGTATTCCAGGGATCCCTGTAAAGTCCCTAAACCCCTAAACGCGAAACCCTTAAACCCTAAGCCCTAAACCCCTCTGAACCCTAGACCCTAAACCCCTCTGAACCCTGGTCTCAGGGCCTATCTTCCTGTAGGGTTTAAGGCTTCAAGTTTATGGGGTTCAGGGTCTGGCGGTTTAGGGTTTAGGGGTGTAGGGTTTAGGGGTGGCGTGACGAGAGCTTTGGTTTCATGCAGGGTTTAGAGTCTGGGGTGACGGGTGAGTTTTGGTTTCATGTTCTTTCTTTCATCTGAAGTAAGGCTTCTGCTGAAGGTGTTGGCCAGTGTCTCTGTTTGGTTCAAGGTCTTGGGTTTAGGCCCATAGGCACGCGTGCATGAAAGACCCTACGTACTTCATTTTGCGCGGATCAAGGAATGTGTGCCACCCCTGCGAACAACCCCTTGGCTTGACTGGCAGAGCAAGCGCTTGCGACAATGTGCAACTTCCCTCTATTGCTTCGAACCTTGTCCCCGTATCTTAATGCTCTTAAGAACCCTTTTAGTTTTAACAAATCTGCAAGATTAAACGTATTGTGTTCATTATGTTTGTAAGGGCGCTTACGGGCTTGAGGACTGGTTTCTGATGCCGTTCTTTTAGAACAATAGCAATACTCAATAAACATTAGTTCATGGATCATGATAAAGTATTGACCGACCTAAGTAATGAATAGTGGTCATTGGTACTTCATAGTACTTGAAAGTAAACACAACATTAATCCATTGCTACTAGTAATACGGTTGATGATATTAACCCTGCATTACCCATAACAAGGAATATACCATAATTGCTATAGTTTAGGTTCCTTAAGCAGTAAGGTAATGCAGGATTATCGGATGAATATCATCAACAGTATTTAAAGGATCATGGGACTTAGTAAGTCGGGTTATAAACAAGGTAACTATACTTATAAGCACTTCTAACCCCAATTAAGGCACTTATCACCCTACTTACTAAGTCCCGTGACCCTCCAAGTAGTGGAAGTACATAATGCCCTAAACCCTAATCCCTACACCCTAAACCGATGGAGCCTCTCGGATCGAAAACGGGACAGCGCCTGAGGAAAAAATCGATAAGTCCCGCGCGAAGCTCCAGGCACCGACGGTTTTTTTGGTCAGGTTCCTAAAGCCCTTAGGGGTCCAAGTACCTAATAATCATATCCTCTCTAAAATATTGAGCTACACAACTATTATCCTAAACCCAAGTACCTAATTATTGGGTCCTTTGGACCCTTAGGGAAAGGGTTAAAGGTCAACACCAGCTTTACTATGAAGGCTACTACAGGGGTAGTGCAGGGTTTTGCGGTCGTACTTTTTGGAATTTATTCATTTAAGGTTTTTGCGGTGCCAGAATACCTCGAAGCCCTAATAATTCAGCTATGAACTCGCCTGAAAATTTCAACCCCAAGTAAGAACCCCGACAGTTGAGGTGTGAAGGGCTTTTGGCTCCTCAGCTGGGGGTGTTGGGCTTAGGGTTTAGTTTTCGGGTTTCGGGTTTTAGGGTTTAGGGGTTCGAGATTTTGAATTTAGGCCTGCTTCTGTGGGTCAAGCGGCCACCATGTCCAAAACACCAGTACCGAATTACTTTCGTCTGTTAGGGGAGTAGGAAGTAAATATATATATATACATATATATATATATATATCTGCAACAGGCCGTTTCTTTGGGTCACATCCTGAACGGAGCAGAAGTTCGGCTTTCAGAATTCGGGTTTGCCTCGACGACATTACTAAAATGAGAGTGCCTTAATGTAGGAACCTGATTAAGAAACCCTGGGCCTATAACCCCCAAATAAAGACCCAGGGTTTCTTAATCAGGTTCCTATATGAATCTTTACCATGACCATTCCATAGGGCTCATGAAAACAGGGATACTTTAATGTACCTCTAACCGCTACTCCTATTATTATTACAGCCCACGTATTATGCGGCATGATATATGCCTTGCGCAGCCATGGGGGGCAGAACTTTCTGAATTAGAGTTTAAGGTCGGGTTTAGAAGTAGGGATTCAGGGCAAGGAGCCTGAGCAAGAGTGCAATATATTTGTATTTTTACCAACATGCATGCATACATAGACATTCATTTACATATCGTATGCATCTACCTATGTTTTATATAGATTCAGATACACATGCGCATACACGCGCTTGTAAACTACACATACAGATACCTATACATGTGCATATATACACACACCAATACATAAAGATACACTTGTATACATATGCGTCTGCATGTACATATATATATATATGTACACACATACATACATACGTTCATTCGTTCATACATATACACAACACATATGTGTTCATGTTCTGTTTACAGATAGAAAGCAGTCTTTTCCGGCCAGAGGTCACTTTAGCTACTATTTGCTTAAGAAACCCCCAAAAAATAAAAATGATAATCCCTATATTACCCCCCATAAGGAATAGATTTTTTATTTTTTGGGGGGTTCTTAAGCAAATAGTAGTTAGCTTTCAGGTCCAGGATTCCGGGTTTTTACGGGTCCGAACGCGTGGCTGGACCTCGGCAGTGAGGCTGCAAAGCGAACCTAAGGTCCCCAATTAGTAGGTTTAGAGTTTAGGGTGTACTTGGAGGCCCTGTTGACTTAGTAAGTCTACTTAGTATCCCCCAGAAGCCCTATTATAATCCCCATAATCCACCTTACTAACCCTACTTACTAAGTCAAAAGGGCCTCCAAGTAGGGTTTAGGGTTTAGGGTTTAGGGTGTAGGCTTTAGTCATGAACAGCTTGGACGCTTATCTGACTTAGTAGCGAGGGTAATTAAGACAGATGGGCTGCGGGGATAATTGCCCCTCTCCCCTAAAGCCTATACGAGGGGACTGCCTTCTACTCAGACCCTGCCAAATCCCTTAATTAAGGAATATACCTTAAACTATAATCGGGTCCCTAGTATGAATTACGGTACATTCTTAATTAAGGGATTTTGGAAGGTCTGGGCCCTAAAACCCTATAGATCCCTTAAAGGAGCCCTGATAGTACCCTTTGAAGGAGCCCTAGGAACTCTACCTTATCCCTTAATTAAGGGATTTTGGAAGGTCTGGGTAGAAGACCCATGGTCCCCTTTCACGGCTTTTGGAGTTGAGGGTTTAGGCTCTTGAAGGTCCCAGACCTTCCAAAATCCCTTAATTAAGGAATATACCTTAAATTATATTAGGGATCCTATTATGAATTAAGGTATATTCCTTAATTAAAGGATTTGGAAGGTCTGGGGTGCAAGGTGTAAAGGGTTCAGGGTCTAGGGTTTCGGGTGTAAAGAGTTCAGGGTTTGGGATTTAGGGTTTGCGGTGTGGTTGGGGTTTTAGGGGTTGGGTGTGCGAGAGTTGCTGATAAAGCTATGCAGACGACATGGCCCTGCCATCGTCTGGCAGCCAATCGCCAAATCCTAAGTTTGGCTCGCAGTCCCCATAAGGTAGGATGCCCAGTAGTACCCTTATTCCCTTTTTGTAGTCCTAGGTTCCTTATAAAGTTACCCAATACCACAAAGAGAGGCCTTTTTATTCTTAGGTTACTGGGTATCCTAGTAAGGTAGGAGCCGGGAAGTTGACACATCATTATGCTCATGGTTTAAAGGCAAAAAACGGAGTCCCAGCAACAATCATCCGGCAGTTCTTGACTTGGCGAGCTTTCACGAGACGCTTCCTGCAGACGTGTGTCCAGTTCGGGCATTGAAGCAACACTTGAGCAGCACATGTGGGCTGTCAAGGTTCAGGCAAAGGCTGGTGTCTTTGAGTGATGGTGCGGTTCTAGATGACGATCACTCCCTGCGAACCGGCGAAATTCAGGTCGTTTTTCTAAACTTCTGCCCAGCATCTAGCATGCAAGTGGCAGCGCTTCGGGATGCTGCCAGAAGTGGCCGGACCTCAGAAGTGGAGAATCTTCTCCAAAGGCCTCAGGAGCCAGACTCGGTATGTATTGATCATCCAACCCCACTGTTTGTGGCAGCCCAGAGCGGCCACCTCGAGGTGACACGCCTTTTGCTTGAGGCCAAGGCAGACAAGGACAAAGCCTTGGAAATCAAAAATGGCATCACTCCTCTCTACATCGCAGCTCAGAATGGGCAGCTGGAGGTTGTACGGCTTCTGCTGGAGGCCAGTGCGGACAAGGACAAGGCCAAGAATGATGGCGCCACCCCTGTTTACATCGCAGCCCAGACAGGACAGTTGGAGGTTGCACGGCTGTTGCTGGAAGCCAACGCGGACAAGGACAAAGCCAACCATATTGGCTACACCCCTTTGTTCGTCGCAACAGCGACTGGACAGTCGGAGGTTGTACGGCTTCTGCTGGAGGCCAGTGCGGACAAGGACAAGGCCAAGAATGATGGCGCCACCCTTGTTTACATCGCAGCTCGGACAGGACAGTTGAAGGTTGTACGGCTTCTGCTCGAGGCCAATGTGGACAAGGACAAGGCCGTTAAAAACGGCCTTACCCCTTTGCATATCGCAGCTCAGACAGGACAGTTGAAGGTTGTACGGCTTCTGCTGGAGGCCAGTGCAGACAAGCACAAGGCCAAGGATAATGGCGCCACTCCTTTGTTCATCGCGGCTCGCGAGGGAAAGTTGGAGGTTGTACGGCTTCTGCTGGAGGCCAGTGCGGACAAGGACAAGGCCAAGGATAATGGCGCCACTCCTTTGTTCATCGCGGCTCGCGAGGGAAAGTTGGAGGTTGTACGGCTTCTGCTGGAGGCCAATGCGGACAAGGACAAGGCCGATGAGAATGGTGCCACCCCTTTGTGCATCGCAGTTGAGAACGGACAGTTGGAGGTTGTGCGGCTTTTGCGCACTGAAGCACAAGGCCAAGCATAGTGGCACCGCCTGTGTTCGTCGCAGCGCAGACCTGACGGTATAGAGGTTGCACGGTTATTGTTCAAGGCCAATGTGGACAAGGACAAGGCCTCTGAATATGGTGAGTTTGTTCGTCGCAGCTCAACACGGACAGTCGGAGGCTGTACGTAATGTGCTGGCGGGCAATGCGGAAAGAAGAAGCAGTCCTAAACCCTAAAGCTTATAAACCCTAAGCCCTGAACCCTAAGGCCCTAAAACCTTAAAAAACCGTAAACCTTATAAACCCTAAGTCCTAAACCCTAAGCCTTACAAACCCTAAGCCCTGAATCCTACAACTTCACCTTGAGTCCCACAGAAGTGAGGACGAGACCCCTCATCTTCGGAACCGCACGGGAGTTAGCTTAGCTTGTCGGGATAAGGATCTAGAGTTTAGGGTCTATACCTTAACCCTGAAACACCTACCTTTTTAGGGTTCCTTCCTTGAGAAGATTTCTTTACATTCGTCCTTAGAAATGTAGGTTCTTCGGGGTCAAGTGAGCTTTTCCGGGTTAAAGTCTAAGGCACCCGCGTAAAATCAGCCTTGCAAAGCCATGTCAACTCAGATAAAACTTCATATAGAAGGGTGTAGGGTTTATAGTAGAACCAGAAAGTTGGAACATCATTATCCCCATGCCTATGAGGTAAAGTATAAGGGATCCTAGCACTAATCCTCCTAAAGCCATGTCCCAACTTTCTGGCTTCTACTGTAGGGATTATAGAAACCCTAAACCCAATTCCTTAAAGACTTATGAGTCTTCCCGCTCATGTCTCTCCTCCGCCCTACTTTAAACCCCAAACTCGTAAACCCTAAGCCCCTCGCCCCTGAACCCAAAGCCCAAAAAGATTTGACCCCTGTGCCCAAAACCCCAAACCTCTAAACCCCCAAACCCCTGAACCCTCAAACCCTAAACTCTTAATGCCAAAATCTGAAAAGCCCAAGGAACCCTTTAACGAGTCCTTTAAAGGAACCCTAAACCCTGAAGCCTGGGGACTCCTTAAAGGACCCCTGCACCTTCCGCCTGAGCAGGCGCAGCAGAAGAAGCGCGAGGAGAAGTTCATCGAAGCCATGGCACGTCAAGCTCCCAAAAGACTAGGATGCCCAGCAGTACCCTTATCCCCTTTTTGTAGTCCTAGGTTCCTTATAAAGTTACCCAATACCGCCTTTTTATTCTTAGGTTACTGGGTATCCTAGAAGAGCGGCTTGAAGGTTTGTAGAGAAATCCGAAGGGCTTGTTTTGTTTGTTGTTTTTGTGGTCCTTGAAAGTGGCTGTAAGGATTACTGTTATTCTAGGGGCCTTATTGATCAGATTAGGACCCCTTTCTTTTTGGCGTTTAAGGTTTTAGGGTCTGAGCCCTGGAAAGCACCCAAGCGAAGGGATCCCCATGTTTAGGGTTTACCTTAGAAGCTGCCCCCACCCTGTAATAGTGGTATAATAGGAGTATAATAGGGCCCTAATATAATCCTATATAATCCTTATGGTCACTATTACAGGGTGGGGGCAGCTTCTAAGGTTTACCCTAATGCTCCAAAGTAGCTCCTTTTTGAGATTCATATATAGAATCCTATAAGGTAATCCCAAATAAAAGGAACTACTATGGAGCCCCTGGGTAGTAGCTGAGTAGGTAACCTTCAAGCTTTTGGGGCATATATAACTACGTAGGCCTTTGGGACATTCAAGTTTTTCCCGTATTGGGCTTAATAGGACCCTATTTACGAACATGTTTCAGAGGCTTTAAAGGGCCAACCTAGAATGCTACCATAATCAACCCTAAACCCCTAAACCCCTAAAGCCCAAACTTTTCTGGGCTAGGGCACTCAGCCCCGAAACCCTCAACCCTCGCCCATGAAGATTCCTGGAACCTTGTGCTTGCTATGGGGCTTAAACAATTACCTATACTATTTTTTGGGGGTTCCTTTTCATATTTATATAGACTAGTATAATGGGCCCCAAGACCCTATTCTAATTGTTAAGGCCCCTATATTAGGTCTTAGGATGTAGGGGTTGAGGCCTTAGGGTTTGTGGCTCAGGGGGTACTTATTATCCTTAGGGGTCCAAGTACCAAATCATCATATACTCTCTAAAATATTGAGCTACACAACTATTATCCTAAACCCAAGTACCTAATTATTGGGTCCTTTGGACCCTTAGGGTATGGGCCCCAACACCCTATTCTACTAATTATCGAGGCTATATTATGGCCGTTTAGGGCAGCTTTGGGCCTAGTTTGAGGTGGCTCTAGATTGTCTTAGATCCCCAATATCTAATCTTTAGACATTTTGGGTTCTTATAGTTTAGTAGGAATCGGAAAGATTCACCTTGTAGTTCTGTGGCTTATTGGGGTAGTAAGTTTTGGCTGTTGAGCTTGTGAGCCCGTGTTTTCTTGGTATAGGGGTCTCCACAAGACACGTCTGTCGCTTAAACGGCTTGAAACTAATTAGCGTTTTAAGGTTCTAGAGCCTAGAGAGCGTTTTGTTGAAAGAAGCTCAGAAGGAGTTGTTCCCACTCTGAAATGAAAAACACCGCCTGTTTAAACTGTGGATACCAAGAGGAGACGCAGCAAGTGTTAGTCACCGTGTTTGTACTAGCCTGTTCATGTAAGACATATGCATATGCACATGTCATACGTACATCAGGTTTCTGACTTCAGCAGTCAGGAATCAATCGCAGTAGTGGTCCTCATGCAACAGGTACTTTGAGTGCACTGGAACTGATGGCGATGCCGGTGCAACGAGACGTTTCACACACATGCATTGCCGCCGCGGCAGGATCATGTCATTGGGTTGATTCCTTCAGGATCCATGTACCCAAAAAGTAAACTGAGGCCTTAAAAGTAGTCCGTAAACTGGTAGCTGCGGGCCAAAGCATATAGTTTTCGAGTACATGGATCCTTTGGGATTGTGTCAAAAATGTTTTCGAAGGTGCCAAAATTCTCCGAGTCTCCTTTAAAGCCTACAGGCCTTTTTGTCAAGCCCTCCACCCTTGCCACCCTAGACTCTTGCCCCCAAGTCCAACAGCGACACGTGTCATTCATGATGTCGCAATATCATGATAGCATTTGTAGCAATGAGAGCCATTGAAGTAACAGTGCCATCAGAAGCATAGAAATAACAGAAAGAACAATGAACAACCTAATCCCTACACCTACACTGTCAACCCTAAACTGCCCACAAAACCCTAAATCGCAATCCCTTAGAGTACCCTTGTAGCAACCATTTAATTTCAGGAACCCTTTATGCGACCCCCTAAATCCCGAAGGCTGACAAACTCCGACCCCTAAAGCCGAAACCCTGATATAGTACGTACCCTGAAGGGAAGCTCTACACCAAAACGCCTAAACCCCATAAGCCCTACCCCTGAACCCTAACCGCTCTAGTATTCTTAAAGGAACCCTGTAACGGAGCCCTTAAAGGAACCTTAAACCCAACACCCCAAAGCCTAAACCGTAAACCCTACACCCCAGACCCTAAACCCTACGACCCAAACCCTGAACCCTACACCCCAAACCCTAAACCACAAACCCTATACCCCAAACCCTAAACCCTAAACCCTATAACTCCAGTCGACCTTGGGCTTAGGTCATGCGAAAGCTCGTGAGGAGCTGGCCGCCAGATATGCCGACAGGGTCGAAAAGGCCCGGGCCTGGACTTGCAGGGAACTATAACTTAGGGATACTTAGAAATAATTTGTAATTTTTGGTTATTATAATCGCTAAGAAACAGCTGAAATTATTATTTTTGCTAGGGTTCTAAGTTCAGTATAGGTAAGGGTTGTACTATAAGGGTTGCTTTAAAGGGCATTGTAAGGGCTCCTTTAAAGGGTACTATAAGGGTTTCGGGGCTTGGGGTTTTAGGGCTTATGGCTCTAGGGTTGTAGGGTTTCAGATTGTTTTAGGTTAAGAGTTCAGGGTTTTAGGTTAAGAGCTTAGGGCTTTAGGTCAAGAGTTCAGGGTTTAGCTTAACAGTTTAGGCTTTAGGGCTTTAGCTTAAGAGTTTAGGGTTTTAGGTTAAGATCTCAGGGTTCAGGGTTTAGGGTTCAGGGTTTAGGGCTTGGGGTTTGGAGTTTAGGGGTTTAGGGCTTTAGGGTCTCGGGGGCGGGGAAGGAAGGCCTGGGGTCGTGGCAAAAAGCTACAGCAAGTAGACGTTTACAAATTAGGGTTTAGGGTTTAGGATAGTAGTTTTGTAGGTTACTATTTGGGAGAGTATATGATAATTTGGTACTTGGACCCTTAGGGCTACAGCAAGTAGAGGTTTACAAATTTGGTGCTACAACGTCTTGCGCATGGCGTGGGGTCCCACGTCCTACGCTGAGGGTTTGAATGTAGGCTGGGTAGGCCTTTGGGTTATTTGACAAGTTTCCTTATCTAGGATGCCCAGTAGTACCCTTATTCCGTTTTTGTAGTCCTAGGTTCCTTATAAAGTTACCTTATGCCAAAAAGGGAGCCCTTTTTATTCCTAGGTTACTGGGCATCCTGGCTATTGGGTCCCAAAGGGTCCTAAGTACTGTTATGGGGAATACTTCCCTAAGTCATAATAGTAATTCCTAATATGGAAACCCTACATTCTATATCGGTACATAGGACCCTTTGGGGGTTTATAATGACCCTATATATACCAATGGCTCTAAAGCCAGCCCAGTAGGGTTCCTAGACCTTCAAAAAATACTTTAATTAAGGAGTATACCTGAATTCATAATAGGGATCCTATTATAATTTAAGGTATAGTCCTTAATTAAGGGATTTTGGAAGGTCTGGGTTTAGGGCACAAGTACAACATGCTGTAGGGTTAACTGCTTGGAGGTTCCCTTTTAAGGTGGGTCGACGGTAGTGCCCTACGGTAAGTAAGGTGATACATAATATAACTAATACTTTTGAATACTTCTAACCCTCAATCAAGGTACTTATAACTTTACTTACTAAGCCCCATGATCCTCCAAGTATATTTTGTCCTAAACCCTAAAGTCCCAAACCGGGCCTGTGTGGCTGTGGCGCATGAGCTGCCCGGCTTTGCTACGGATTCAAGGGCTCTCCTGGGATTCAGAGTCGAGGGTTTCGGCTGCGGGCGGTAATTGAAGGTTTTACAGCAGCGGAGTTACCCGTCGAGTGTGGCTGTCAGCTCGGAATGACGCTTTTGCGCGTTGTTCTTCAGGCCATGGCATTTCGTAACCGGTGCAAGACCAACAAGGCTTGGTTGCACTTGTCCCCTTCTCCATCTTCTTCTTATCCGTGGTCATGTCGGCATTCCACCACCTTCTTGTGAACGCAAAGTTCCCCGCATTTTGACATTGTCCATGGAGCATCGGGCCATGTCAGGGATTCTTGACCCGAGATAACCATCTGCTCAACCGCGTGGCGAGTAAATCTGGAAGCTTTTGCATTGAAGACTTGATGAAAAGGCTGGGGGTAGAACCTGCAATCCAGCGGACTCGATAAGTAGCTAGGAAATTGCAGGGTGCTAAGTCCGCTTGCTGCAGAACCCCGACCCTAATATAGTACCCTAAATAGTAGGATCCTTATTACAAGGACCTCAAACATAAGGTACCCCTAATTTTCGTAACCACCCATATAAACACCGTTAGCATAGGCGCCTTCGTAGCATTCAACCCAGCTGTGTGGTGTAATATAGTATCGTGGTGCTACTATGAAGTCAAAGGAATTAATACTCGCATGTAATTGCTAATACCTGTTTGGGGGGGTTCTTTATTGTGATTATAGTCGAATATTTATACCTAACATACCCCCAAACTCTATTCTAATTATTACGGCTCCTAGAGTGATATTGATTCGTTTTGCTAAGGAGGTCCAAAGAATTTTACCCATGAGTCCTCAGCGCGACACCCCTTTATGCCCTAATCCTCAAACACTATAAAGACTCTAAGGAGAAATGTTGTGGTTTAGGCTTTAGGGGTTTAGGGTTTTTGGGTCTAGGGTTCAGGGTTTGAGGGTTCAGGGTTTAGGGTTTGAGGGTTTAGGGTTCAAGGGTTTAGGATGGCTTAGTGTTGTACTGGCTCCTGCAGGAGTTCCAAAGGGGTTCCTACGTGGCTTCCTTGTACGGGGTTGCTAGGTGAGCTTTCTTCAAGGGGTTCCTACATGGTTATAGGGTTTAAGGTTCAGGGAACATCCGAATCCAGTCCTCGCGCTGTCTTTTGCATGTACAAAAACCAGATGCCCCAACCCATGCGTCATCAAACCATGCCGCTGTTACTCATCCAGGACGAGCAACCAGAACCCTAGAAGCCCTGCCCAAAACTTCAAGCACAGGGTTTAGGATTTAACGTAAACCCTAAATCAGAACCCCTCAACTCTAGCTCCAAACTGAAATTCTAAACCCCCAACTAAGCTCCCAAACCCAACCAAAAAGCTTTGAACTAGATATAATCCCCAATGTAGCACACTTTTCCTTGGGGTTGCTTCACGTAACTATATCTTAGTATACGTAGCGGAGTGGATACACTTTACACTTTTTGGGGTAATATTGCCCACTATAAAACTGAAGGTGTACACTTTTGGGGGGCTTATGAACTCAGCAACTAAGATATTGTGGTATACTCCAAAACCCTACTTAAGTTAATCTTGCGGTTATGCTGAGTAGTCAGCAAGACTATTCCTGCGGTGCCTTGTTTCTAACGCTACATTACTAAAGCCTAAACCCTAAACATTACTGAACCCTGTTAGGCCCTAAACCCTATACCCTAAACCTTAAACCCCACATTACTAAACCCTAAACCCTAAACCCTGCATTAAGCCCTCGACTGGCGGTCTAGGACGGTAGTATAAGGCCCCACCCAGACCGGTTTAGGGTTCAGGGTTTAGGTTTTAGGTTTTAGGGCTTAGGTTTTAGGGTTTAGGATTTATGGTGGTGAAGATCCCTAAAACGTGCAACTTAAGCCCTAGCCCCAAGCAGAAGCAATAGTCGCAAACCTTAAGCCCCACATAGAGGCATGTATTGCATCCATGTGCGTGTCTGCTGTTCAGAGTGTCCGAAACGCTTCCGTGCGTCCCAGCCCGCATGTGGAATTTAAGTTAGCTGCTGTACTGCAGGGTTCTCACTATTCTATCTAGGTATCCCCTGTTTTGGCCGTAGGTATGTATCTGCACAGGTGAAAGAGAGCTTGACGAAGCACTTCGAGAAACGAGACCAGGCCCGTCTGCTCGCTCTTTCCGGTTTGGGACACTTGGAGGATCATGGGACTTAGTAAGTAGGGTTATAAGTGCCTTAATTCCCAGAGGCTCCAAATATAGTACCATTATGGAATTAGGTCCCAAAAGACCTTCCATATCATGGCTTTGGGGACCTAATTCCATAATGGTACTATATTTGGAGCCTCTAGGATTGGGGGTATAAGTACCTATAAGTAGAGTTACCTGTTTTTTGTTCACTTACTAAGTCCCATGATCCTTTAAGTAGGGCTTTTGGGGTTTAGGAGTGTAGTAGTGCTTGGCGGGTAGGGTCTACCTCAAACCCTGAATAACCTACCTTGTTAGGGTTCCTCATTATGATTTCTTTATATTATAAGTCCTCAAAAAGTAGGTCCTTCAGAGTTAAGGTAGGGTTTAGATGGTAATAAGGTTGAAGGTTTTCAGGGTTCAGGGTCTAGGAGTCTAGGCCCAGGAGTACGTAGGATACATGCAGAGCTTTACAGGGACTCTTTCAACCTGGAAGACTCTGTAAGGATTCTGTAAGCTTACGTGGCGGCCCCGAGAATCAAATCAGGGTCTGGGGTTAGGTTCGGGGGTTTCGTTTTTAGAGTTCAGGGTTCAGAATGGCTCAGGGTTTAGTTACAGTGTAGGCTTGGGGGTTCAGGGAAGACAAGAGCTGTCCCTGCGCAATACAAGGTTTAGGTCTAGGTTTTAGAGCAGCGGTTCTTCAGAATGAGAGTAGGGTGCTGGGATACAGTCTGGCATAATTGCGTAGGGACTTTGTTGCTTGTTTCGCTGTGTTTTGGGTAGTTCTCCAAATTCGGGTCCCTTTTCTCTGCCTCCCAAAATAGTACGGCACCCTTCTAAAAGTGGCCCCAAAACGGACCCTAAGCAGTTTCGGTTCAGAGAGCCTTAGAGGGCTCTTGGGAGGTTTAGCCTCTACTTGGAGGCCCTTTTGACTTAGTAAGTAGGGTTAGTAAGGTGGGTTAGGGGGATTATAATGGGGTTTCTAGGGGATACTAAGTAGACTTACTAAGTCAAAAGGGCCTCCAAGTAACGATCATGGGCTGTGACGTCTGTGACGTTGGGGAGCGATTCTACTGGCTTCCTGAAGGGATCTACCCCCCACGGGTCCATGTACCCAAATAGTATATACTTTGGCCTCAAAGTACCCAAGTAGGGTTTACTTTAAAGCCAATGTATATATACTATTTGGGTACATGGGCCCTCAGGGCTATAGATTTCCCTAAAGGGAGCTACAAGCTTCCTCGACCCTCCAAAGCTTCGTGCGCAGTCTTGTTTGGGAGTGTCTGAAAACTGAGGGGCCCCAATATAGAACCCCCAAACTCTATTCTAATTCTGGTGCACCCTATATGGGAGATTCCGAAAATAGGGGACCCTAATATAACAGTAGCCTCAGTAATAGGATCCTTATTATAAGGACCCCAAAAGAAGGTACCCCTTATTCTCGGAAACACCCATATCAAACGAGAGGTATTGGCCAACGAGCGACGGGAGAAGCTCGTGAAGCGGCGTCAGGCCACGTGTGGAAATTCCAAAACCTGGGGTACCTTGTTCACAAGTCCTTATAGTCCTGATAGTAAGATTTAGAGGTCCTTTTCACAAAGATTCTGGTATTATTTAGGTCCGACTTTAGCTGTCCAATTCCTGACACTCCCATTTATGTGACGGACTCAGCGTTTCGTGCATATATTTTCAGCCTTCAAGCTTTTATCCTTAGGTCTCTATTTCAGCGGCTGTGGCTGACGATGGAAGCCTGAATCCTAAGCCCCAAAACCCAAGCCCTACTAGGATGCCCAGTAGTACCCTTATTCCCTTTTTGTAGTCCTAGGTTCCTTATAAAGCTACCCAGTACCAAAAAGAGAGGCCTTTTTATTCCTAGCTTACTGGGTATCCTTGCCTAGCTGAAACACCGAGTCCCAAACCCTAAGCTCCCAATCCGACAAGTCTCAGACCCTAAAATTTTCTCGAACAAGCGGATGGCTTTCGTTTTCAGGAGGTTCTCGGACCTAGAATAGGCCTCTCGAATTAAAAAGGGGCCTTAGGGTTTAGGGTTCAGGGTTTAGGGTTTAGGGTTTGGGGTTTAGGGTCAGACCCTAAAATTTTTTCGCGAACCTAGAGTAGGCCCTTACTACCTGTTTTGGGGGTTCCGGTTCCCTTATAAGCCCCTTAAAGCCAAAAAGGGCACCCTTTTTATTCCCAGGCTACTCTTGGGTCTAGTTTTAAAAGCAAGGAAGCTTAGTGTTAGAATGCCCAAAATGTAAAACTCTGTCGTGCCCTAGTTTGTTGATGCCTCCTTAGTCCCCGGAATTGAAGAGTTCCAGGTCCTGGATGTGTTTGCTATGGAATCGCCTAGCCTGCAGGGCATAGGTAGGTTCAAGTACTACTCCGGCATCTACTGCGAGGAGGGCGGTGTCAAGAAGGCGCTTGTCTTGGAGCTCCGCGACTACCCGGATGCCATGTACTGCCGGGGGGGGCGCCGAGCGCCCAACGTGCTGCAGCTCTTCGCAATGAAACACGTCCCCCAGGAGTTCCGGCAGTCGCTGGTGACGAAGGCACCGGCAGGACAGAATTTCAAGCCACGTCGGGGTGTACCTGGATTTGTTGTCCAGGGCGACAGGCCATTCAAAGTCTGTCATCACGGCTGTGTGTGGCAAGAAGCCCTTGTAGACTCTTGTCCTAAACTCTGAGCCTTAAACCTTAAACCCTAAAACCCCTAATCCCTAAACCCAAGCATTCGTAGGCCCTTGTAAGGAACCCTTAAAACATCCACCGTTAAGGGCCATCAGGGCTCTATTAAACGGCTCTCGGGGGTCCTGGTCCCTAAACCCTAGACTCTAAACTCTAAACCCCTAAGCCCTAAATGCCCTAAACCCCTAACTCCTAAACCCTAAACCCCTAAACCCTAAACCTAAGATCCCTATAGATCCCTTCAAGGAACCATTAAAGAACCCTTACAGTGTAAAAAGGTGCTGAAGAAGCTGAAGCAGGTCATCGGACCCGATTCCCCGAGGAGGCCAATGTTCAGCTGTGGTTTGGGGCCTTAGGGCGTAGGGCTTGCGGTTTAAGGCTTTGAGGTTACGGTTTAGGGTTTAGGGCGTAGGTTTGCGGTTTCCGTTTAGGGTTAAGGTTTAGGGTTTAGGTTTTTGGGGGTTGGGCTTTGGTTCAGGGGATTCTTTTGCACTCAGCAAGGCTTTCACCTCGATTTAGAAGGCTTAGAGCTTTTGGTTTCCGTTGTAGGGGTGTCAGGCATTGGCAATGCGGCATTGGGCGTAAAGTTTTCACCTTGCGTGAATGTGGAGTTTAGGGCACAGGGTTTCGAGCGCTGCGAACCCAAAACCCTAACCTCAAGTCCTAAGCTGTGGACCCTAAACCCTAGCCTCAAGGTCATATTTGGAGGATCGTGGGACTTAGCAAGCAAGCTTATGAATAAGGTAATTATACTTATAATTAGTTATAACCACAATTAAGGCACTTATCACCTTACTTACTAAGCCCCATGATCCTCCAAGCAGACCCTAAACCTTAAACCCTATAGATCCCTATAAGGAACCGCTATAGATCCCTTAAGGAACCCTGCAGATCCCTTTAAGGAACCCTATAGACCCCTATAAGGAACTCTAGGTATCTCCCTGGTTATAACATTACTTGTTAAGTCCCATGATACTCCCAGTAGTTCATACTGTTGTTTGCTTAGGATCCATGTTTGTGTTTCCGTTGCAATAGACACCAAGACCCTATGCTGATCATTGAGGCCCCTATGTTACCAAAATATCAGCACACTTCGGTAGAGCCGATAATTCCCTAATAGCTGGGTAGGTAACCTTTAACCTTTTAGGGCTTATCATCCTATCATAATAGGAAAAGTTAGCCATTTCTGTGCTCGGGTACTCAGCCCCTTATACTTTGATAAGTACAAACCCTAAGGGTCCAAGTGCCCAAATAGTAGGGTTTCAAGCTCCCAATACCATTCAGAGTATGAATTTCGGGACCTCAAACCCTACTATTTAGTTGCTTGGACCCTCTCGGAAAGAGATCCGTAAGACCGGCATAGAAGTTTAGGACAGGGCCCGTAGAACACCTGCGGACTAAGCCTCAAACATCTAGGCCTCGCAGAGCCCGTGAAAACCAGCGACAAGTGCATCCCACATTACACAAGGCATATAAAAGCTACTTGCATACAGAAATATTGCCCTACATCCGAAATTTTTAATTCTGAACACAGCCCTGGACCACAGCGCGAAAGAGGACTGCTTTTGGGCTTCCCTGCTGCCAGGATCCAGTACATCCAGGAGGAGGTGCAGAGGAGGGTCGATCAGAGCTGCGCTCAGTGGAATAAGATTCAAATGTATACTACTACTACTACTACTACTACTACTACTACTACTACTACTACTACTACTACTACTACTACTACTCCTGCTGCTGCTGCTACTACTACTACTACTACTACTACTACCACTACTCATTCCCACAGGGTCCACATATACTACCATTCTGGAATTTGGTCCCTACTATTACCCCTACGACTATTGCTATGACTGCCGTTATTACTTGTATTGGTTCGCCATTTAGGTTCCAGTATTTCTGATTTACGCAGGGGTTTAAGGGTTCAGGGTTTACCTGTAGGGTTGTTGCTTTGGGGAGTTGGGGTCTTCAAAACATATTTGTTGAGTTGGTTGTGGGTTTGTTACATGTTCTTGTTTGGAAGATAGGTTTGTAAGGCCTTGCCAACCCTAACCCCGAAGCCCTATGTGGCTTTTGTGTATTTAGGTCCCAAAGCATCTTAGGTACCGTCGTGGGGGATACTTTGATACTTTCCCAAACCATGATAGTGATTCCTAGTATAGAAGCCCTACATTCTACTATATGGGCACTTAAGACCTTTTCTTATAGAGTTATAAGTACCATAACCCCAATCACTGTCCGCTTTCGGATTTTTATAACTCTCTAAAGTAACCCTAAACCCTAAACCTTACTATAACCCGAGACCCTGAATTCTTTGAGGTTTCGGGTCTTAGGGTTTGGGGTTTAGGGTTTACTGGAAGTTTCCATAACCAGGCAACCATATTATGTACCATAGATCCCTATGAAGGTACCTTAAACCTTCAACCCTAAACCCTTGCATATAGATCATTTAAATGAGCCCTGTTAGATCCCTTAAACGAACCCTTCATAGATCCCTTTTATGGAACTTACACTAAAACTCTTAACCAGAACCGAGTACAGTTCGGGGTTTAGGGCAAGAGGGAGCCCCTACAAACCCTAATCCCTAAACCCCTAAACCCTAAACCCTAAACCCCTAAACCCCAAACCCCTAGACCTAAACCCTAAACCCCTAAACCCTAAACCCCCAAGAGTCATGTACCGAGTTGAAGGCTTGGTTTGGGGTTCCTTTAAGGGTTCCTTTAAAGGGTCCTTGAAGGGTTCTATACGGGCTCTTAGGGTATCTACAGTCCCTGTCGGGTTCTTAGTTGGGAATAGGGTTTAGAGGTTGTTTTTTTAGGGTTCCTTGAAGGGTTCCTTGAAGGGAAGCCCTAAACCCTTAACGCCCTAAACCCCTAAACCCTAAACCCTAGGTTCCTTTAAAGGTTCCTTGAAGGGATTCCTTGAAGGGAAGCTTACTAATCCCATGATCCTTTAAGTAGACCCTGAACCCTAAACACTATGGATCCCCTTAAGGCGCACAATAGACCCCTTTAAGGAGCCCTTTAAGGAAGCCCTGTAAACCCAAGGCGTGAGACGATGGGTGAGATCGTGCAGCAGAACCTGCTCCGAATTCAGCGCAGGGAGCCTAGGAGGTTTGTTGTTTTACCTGGGTTTGGAGTACCATACTTGAATGCTTTTTGGGTACCTGTTCCTTAAAGGAACCATGATGAAATACAAGTCTATACTTTTTCCCCCTTGGTCACTTCAAAGTCCAGTTTAGGCTTCTTAGGAGTGGCCGGGGCTTTAGGGTTTTGGTAGGGCTTTAGGATCTTTGAGGGCTACAGTGAGTGGTCAGTAAGGTTACAATTCCCTAAGGCCCCATGTACCCATATAGTGCATACTTAGGCCTTAAAGTACCTACATAGGGACCCCTTTAAGGCTTAAGTATCTACTATAAAGATACATGGAGCATTTGGGATTCAGTATCTTTTAGAGCTTTGGGTCTTAAGGGGTTGGGGCGTTGAGGCTTCATTGCTCTAGGGCTTCACGGCGTTAGGGGGTTAGGGCTTCTGGGCTTTAGGGTGTGAGGGGGTTAGGGGATTTTGGGGCGTTAGGGCTTGAGGGTCTTACAAGGGGTTCAGGGCGGGTCTTAGAGTTTTAGGGCTTTAGGATCTTCCCAGAGATTCCAATTAAATTACAGTAGGATCCCTGATATGATTTAAGGAATATTCCCTGGGTTAGGGTGTTAGAGTTTCGTCTTGGGGCTTCACTGAGGGGGTGAGGGCCTGAGGGTCTGAGGGGGTTCAGGCTTTAGGGTTTTAGGGCCTTAGGATGTACACACTTTTGGGCTTTAGGGTAATAGGGCCTTAGGGTGTACATGCTTTAGGGCTTTAGGGTCTTACGGGGTTTGGCTTTGAGGGCTTTTGGGTTTTAGGGCCTTGAGGTATGACGGGATTGGGATCCTAGGATTTTCGGCTTTGAGGGCTTGAGGGCCTTAGGGGGGGCTAGGGAGGATGTTGCGGCTTTAGGGCGTAGCCTATGGCCGGTGTAGGCTGCTTGGGGATTGCTAAACTCTAAACCCTATGGATCCCTTTAAGGATCTCTTCTAAGGAACACTTACTTAAACCCTAAAACCCTAAACCCTAAGACCCCACGACCCTAATCTCTACACCCCATAGATCCATTTAAGGAGCCCTTATGGTAGAAGCCAGAAAGTTGGAACATCATTATCCTCATGCCCTTAAGGTAGTGTATATAGGATCCTAGCACTAATCCTCCTAAAGCCATGTTCCAACTTTCTAGCTTCTACTGTATAGTACCCTCTAAAGCAACCCTTACTTAAACCCTAAACCCTAAGACCCTAAGATCCTAATCTCTACACCCCATAGATCCATTTAAGGAGCCCTTATATAGTACCGTCTAAAGCAACCCTTAATTATAGGATCCTTAAGGGAGGGTGGTTCAAGGGGGGAGGGTATAAGGAATCCTTAGGGGACTGTAAGGGGACCTTAGGGAGTACTAGGGAGGATTAGGGATCACTAGGCTATATACCCCCCTCCCTTAAGGATACTACAACTTAAAGGAACCCTGAGGATCCCTTTCAGGGTTTTAGGGTCTTCAGGGGTTTGAGGGGTCTCCGGGGCTTTTAGGGTTTTAGGGGGATTTAGGGTTTAGGGGGTGTAGGGGTTTAGGGTTTATTGGGGTTTAGGGGTTTTAGGGTTTAGGGGTAAGGGTTTAGAGGTTAGGGTTTAGGGTTTAGGGGGTGTAGGGTTTCAGGGGGTGTAGGGGTTTAGGGTTTATTGGGGTTTAGGGGTTTAGGGTTTAGGGGTAAGGGTTTAGAGGTTAGGGTTTAGGGTTTTAGGGGGTTTTGGGGTTTAGAGTTTAGGGTTTGGGGTTTAGGGTTTTGAGGGTCAAGGGTTGTAGGGTTTGTTGTTCAGGGTTGTCGGGCAGGTCATACTCTCGTTGCAGTCTATGTCCACTGGCCAGGACATTGACCTGCATGTGAGGCCTTTCTTGCGCCCGAATCTGTCGCCGGCCCCTGAAAACGTCTTCGAACTTGGTCACGCAAGTGCAAGCGGCCGGGCCCGATGAATTGCGCATGGACATCGAACCGGGTCTGGACACCATCCTCGTCCGCTTCCACATGCAAGGCATTGTGAGTCCCTGAGTCCCGGAGTCCCAGACTCCGACTCACAAGTGGTTTTCCCCGCGATGGGGGCAGTCGGCTCGACGTTCGTCATGGAGGTGACCAGCGGAGGGACCCTCACATGCTTCCAGCGAGCGGAAGTGATCATGGCGGTGCAGCTTCAGGGTATTTGGATTGCGATGTCTATCCTGAAGGACAAGTCCTGCGAGCCTTCCTCAGTAGACCGGGCTTTAGGTGTTTCGGGCTTTTTGGGCCCAAACCCTGAACTCGAAGCCCTTAACTTCGAATAGCTAAACCCCAAGTCCTAAACCCCAAGGGTCCGAAGGACCCAATAATTAGGTACTTGGGTTCCGGGCAGTAGTTGTGCAGCTCAATATTTAAGACAGTATATGATTATCAGGTACTTGGACCCCTAGAGATACCCCTAAGCCCAAAACCCTACTTGTAAGCTTGTTTTTATGGTTATAGCCTGTCCCTCGAGCCCTGTAAGCAAAGTTTAGGTTTAGGGCTTAGGGTCTATTGTACAGAGTTGAGGGTTTAGTGTTTGGGGCTTCTGCAGCTATGGGAAACCGTCATGTGCCCAGATGGTGCAAAACTCCTTCAACAGGTGTTTACGAGGTTTATAAGTTTATGGGGTGTTCAAGAGGGCTTCTTTACACGAGTTTACAGAGTTCATAAACGGGCATCGAGGCTCCTATTCGTCAAATTACAGAAGGTCACTTACTGCAGGCTGATTGATGCACGTTGCTGAATTCAGGGGTGTTGAACCCTAAACCATAGGCCCTAGACCTTACACCCACTCCGCTGACCTAGTTCTTGGCAAGCGGTGTGCAAAACATGGCTGGCCTCAGTGATACGTCTGGCTTTGGGACGTTGCTACCTTGATTTCGGACGGCTCAGATCTAGAGGGGAGGTTGTCAAAACTAGTGTCCCGTTTTGGGTTACCCTAAACATTAGGTGCCGTACTATGTTAAGGACCCAACAAGGGACCCTCCTACGCCCATATCTCAAGAGAGACATTTGGTCTGTGACTACTTGCAGTGCTTCTCCGAAGACTGCCTGATCCTCTTAGCAGGGGTTGCAATCGCTCCTTAAACCTCGAACCGGCTCCCCCTTACTCCCCCCCCCCTCCCCGGCTCCTGCAGAGAAGGATTCCAGATACCAAAACCAACCCTCCCTAAACCCTAAACCCTACACCCCAAACCCTAAACCCTAAACCAACTTGGCAAATCCACCAAAGTTCAGAAGGTTGTGGGATCATAGAGCTTAGCCCTCGAACTCGGGTTGAAGGTTCAGGGTTCAGGGTTGAGGTTTAGGGCTTTTCGAGGTTTGCAGAGGCCGAAACCGTTTAACCCACGTTCCTGACAAAATCGCTAACGGCCAAGGTCAGGAAGAGTGGAAGCATGAGGAGCTTTTGACGAGGTCCGGGGCTGCTACAGACTAGGAACCACAAGCCCCAAACTCTGACTCAGTAGCTGAGTGGTTTTTAGGGAGTATGAATTCGCAGTTTAGGGTTAACAGGGTTTAGGGTTAGCTTTTTGTCGTTTGTTTCGGTGTCCGGTTTGCACAGGGTAGCATATAATCCCTAAACCCTAAACCCTAAACCCCTAAACCCTAAACCCTAAACCGCTTTTTGGAGCCTGGGTACTGAAGAGGAGGGGGGTGCAGAGTCCGTGGGTTAGCATCGGATCACAGGTTCAAGAGTTTAGCTACGGTTTAGGGTTTAGGGTTTAGGGTTTAAGGGTTTAGGGTTTAGGGTTTCTGGGTTTAAAGTTTACTCAGTAGCTGAGTGGGTACACCTTACACTTTCTGGGATCATATGACCCACTAAAACTGAAAGTGTACACTTTTTGGGGGCTTATGAGCTCAGCTTAACCCTACATCCTGAACCCAAAACCCAAACTCTAAACATCTCTACACAGAAGCGTAGCAAGATGACAAAAATACATATCTACACCCGAACCCTGGACCCTAAACCCTACTCCCCGTTCGCTGGGGCAAAAATGTAGCGGCCTTACATAATAGTTAGAATAGGGTTACGGGGGTCTCCTTTTTTAAATTGTAGTGTAATATACCCCCCAAGCCCTATTCTAAATATTAAGGCCCCTATAGTCCTTGCTTCCTGGAGTCCCAAAAAATCAGCTTGCTTAAGATGCTGGCCCTAGAAAGTAGGTTTGTAGATGGTAAACCTTGGACTTATAAGAACCAAGAACCAACACCCAAACCCTAAACCTCTAAACTCTATAACCCTGGACCCCTGAAGCTCCAGGCATTGCATCAGCCCTCCTAAACCTGAAAACCTTACGAGTCGCTTTCGCAGTAGAGCCCTTTAAAGGTCAATGACAAAAAGGCTGAAAAGCCGATGCAGGACTGATGAAAGAGTCCGAAAGCGAAAAGAGGCAAAAGGCCTAAGAGCGGTACGCAAAGTACAAGTTGCCGAAGAGCAAACTTGGACTACATCGCGAAGCGCGACGTGAAGAAAAAGTGGTTTGGGTTCGCGTGCCTTTGCAATCTTGACATTGGGCTTGATTCCGCAGCAGCTCCGCTATCTGCCAACGACCCAGCTCGGAAGCCAAATCCTTGAGTGTGACTATGCTGGTGTAGGGAGTCCGTGCGTTCAAATCGCGGCCTATGCAGCGCCGAACTGCCGCGAAACTGGCGCAAAAGCCTTGGGAAACGCCACACAAAAAGACGCAACAACATACATGCGAAAGGTCTTGAGCACATTATTCGGAATGCCTGGGGGAGGACGATTGTGAGGTACTTGGACCCGTACGGAAGGATGTCCTGTAGAAGCCCGACTGATCCATATGCCCTTATTCCCTTCTATAGAGGTTTGACTAAATAGTTACTATGGTAGAAGCCAGAAAGTTGGAACATCATTCTCCTCATGCCCTTAAGGTAAAGTATAAGGGATCCTGGCACTAATCCTCCTAATTAAAACTATGTTCCAACTTTCTGGCTTCTACTGTAATGTATGCCCTGATCAACAGACACCCCTTTCTATAAGGTCCCCGAATACTGGGATCCTTGCTAGGAGATACCTAGGCCCCTTAGTTAGGGAACCCAAAAGAATTCAAACAAAAGCATAAGCATGTTACAGTGGATACCCCTAACTTGTTGGGCTTCATCACAACAAAACTGACATGAGATACCCCTATGCTAAACCCTAACTTGTTGGGCTTCATTACAAGGGCGCTTACGTGGGATATCCCTGTGCTAACTGTTGCTTTATGGGCTTTTTCGGGGTTCCTACTCAGGGTTAACCACGACGCCTTGGCCTGGACCTCAAATAAGCTACCTCTTCAGAGTTCTGAGCATGATTTCCTCGTATAGAAGATACCTTAAACCATAGTATTAAGCCCCCTAAAATTTAAGGTAGTCCTAGGTTCCTTATACAGTTACCCAATACCAAAAAGGGAGCCCTTTTTATTCCTAGGCTACTGGGCATCTTAGGGTTTCTTCGTGTAGAAGTCCTTACCAAGGTAGGTAATTTTGGGTTAAGGCCAACCTTGCTTCACTAAACCCTAAACCCGAATCCCTAAATCCTAGACCTCAAACCACTAAACCCTGCAACCTACACGACCCCAAACCCTATGCCGCCAAACCTGACACCCTAAACCATTGAACACTTTGAGTGAAAAGCCCATTGCACTTAACCAAAACCGTTGAACTGTAAGGCCTTAGGGAGTACCTTCTTTTGGGTTCCTTATAATAGGGACCCTACTATTTGGGGTACCCTAGTTTCGGAAACTCCCACATGAGACTTCCAGGATTGAGGACAACAACGCGCGCGTGGAGCGGATCCATGAGGCCCCTCTCCTTTAAAGGGATAAAGGGGTCTATAAGCCCAAAGGGTCCTATGTACTGTTATGGGGAATACTTCCCTAAGTCATAATAGTAATTCCTAAAATGGAAACCCTACATTCTACTACATCGGTACATAGGACCCTTTGGGAAGGTACTAGGGTACTATAGTATAGGGGTTTGAAGCATTCGAAGAGGGTTTGGGGGTATTTTACGTAGACGTATAAGCAGACTGTGGAGAGTTGGTTTGAGCGTGCGTTTAGGGAATTCTTGTAGGGTTGAGGGCTTCGGTCGTAAGTGTCTATAGGGTTCAGGGCTCCTTTTTAAAAGGGTGTACAGTTCCTTTCAGTTATTTATGCAGCGCTTTTGCGTGGCTTAGGATTCCTTTCAGGGTTCCTTAAAACGGGTTCATACAAGGCTTCAGGATATCTGTAGGGTTTAACGTGCCGGGGCTAGCTAGGGTTCAGGGTGTAGCGACTGGGGTTTAGGGTTTTGGGCTACAGCGGTGGCAGTCGGGTAGCATAGGCTTTTTAAATGTCGGATAGGGCATCTTACCAGACCCTTTAAACTCTAAAGGGAACTCCAGAAAGTTGGAATATGGTTTCAGTGTAGGATACCCTATAATTTACCATAAAGGGTTTAGGATAATCATATTCCAACTTTCTGGCTTTTACTTTATAAGCACTGCCTAAACTCCAGACTCCAGACATCCCAAAACCCTAAACGCTATATTGCCCTATACTATAAGGCCAAACCTCAAACCGTAAACCTTACCTTAAACCTGAAGGACCTACCTTTTTCAGGACTTATATAAGGAAATCATAAGAAGGAGCCTTTAAAAAGGTAGGTTATTCAGGGTTAAGGTATACTTACCCTACAAAAACCCAAACCCTGGAACTTGAAAATCTAGCCCGGAGACAACTCTATACCCTGTGACCACCAATCCCGTTTTTTGTTCTATACATTCTAAGACACCCAAACGCTGGCTCGCTGGTTACCCTTGACCACACAGTGAAACTTAAAGCCCGAAACTCTAAATCTTAAACCCTCTACAAGGGCCACCGGTGAGCCTAGTGGCTAGTTTCGCATTGACCCTAAAATGTGTTGTCGTTTTTCTGTTTACCTCGACTTCTTGTTTCAGGATGCCCTTTTAAAACTCTCCCAGCCTAGACCCTGCAATCCTAAACCCGGATCCCTGATCCTTCTTGTTTAAACCCTCAACCCTGATCCTAAATCCTGAGCCCTAAACCCTATAAACCTTTCTTTTGCAAGGGATCCCTGGAGTACCCCCTAAGAGGAGCGCGACAAGGTGAACCCAATATTGAGCCCTACCCTAATGCTCCGAAGAGGGTCTTGGGCTTTCTGGGGGGAGGGTTTCGGCTTTGGGGGCTAGGGTTTGGGATCTCACTACAAAGCAAAGCTCCTCGCCTTCACAAAGATGATGGAAGGCGAGGAGCGAGTCGTTGAGCAAGAGCAGGAGACATCAGAGGCATTCTTTTCCTCGGGCTTGGACACATTTGCCATTCTGGTCAAGTCGTGTTGCAATGTGGAAGTCTTTGCAATGGCAGCAGATTCGCTGTTTGAAGCGGCAGCGGCATCTCCAAGGCCCAAGGCATCGTCCCAACTATGGTGCTTCGAGTGCGGGAGCCCGAACGCATCCTATCTCCGAAATACGAGGGCGAACGTCATGGCCTCGAGCACGAGCTCGCTTTGGCAGGGGCAGCTTCTTGAGATTGAACCTTAAACCCCTAAAGCGTGAACCCTAAACCGCTCTAAACCCTAAACCCTAAATGAGCCTTAGGGTAGACCCAGACCTTCCAAAATCCCTTAATTAAGGAATATACCTTATAATTCATAATAGGATCCCTAATATAATTTAAGGTATATGAACCCTAAACCGCTAAACCCTAAATCCTAAACCCCTAAACCCGAAACCCATGAGCCTTAGGGTAGAGTCTCCTTTAAAAAGGGGGGACCTCAGAGAGCCTGGCTCAGCTCCTGGGGCTGGGAGGGTTTAGGGTTTTAGGGGTTTAGGTTTTAGGGTTTAGGGGTTTAGGGGTTAGGGGTTTAGGGGTTTAGGGTTTGGGGTTTAGGGTTTCGGGTTGGATGGTTTAGAGTTTAGGGTGGCTCCTGGCAGTCGCAAAACATGGGCGGTTAAGGGTTTAAGGGTTTTCGGAGGATTTATGGTTTTAGGGTTTCAGGGTTGGGGTTTAGCCGACTGTGTGCCCTAACCCCAAATTCTACATCCACCACCCTAAACCGCCTCCCTAACGCGTAAAGCATGAATCCCCCGACACCGCTAAGCCCTAAACACCCTAAAATACCACCAAAACCCTAACCTTCAAAAGCCCTAAACCTTACCAGTCCTAGGCAGTATTAGGGAGACCCTTTGAAGGGGACCCTTCTTAACCCTACTTCTGGCTCTCTTCACTAGGATGCCCAGTAGTACCCTTATTCCCTTTTTGTAGTCCTATAGGTTCCTTATAAGGTTACCCAATACCAAAAAGGGAGCTAGACCAGGACAGGGCCATGATGCTGGAGCAGCCCGGGTCTCAATCACACTCAGGGATTTTTTTTTCTGATTTGGGCGGTGTTTTGGGGATATCCTGGGCTGGGTTCCTGAGTAGTACCCTTCTGCCCTTTTTCAGTTCAAAGTTGCATTTTAAACAACCAAACAGTAGGAAAACAAAGGTGCCCTTATTATGAGATTGGGTTCCTGTGGTTGATAAGAGCCATCTTGTTCTTGTCGGGTTTAGGTTCAGAGTATGCCGTGCTCTCCAAACTCTACGCCCGAAGCCCATGAAACTAGTGCAGAGTAGAACCCATAAACAAGCCAATTCGCCGCTTCCAGGATCTAGAATCTAGACAATAGATTGACAGCAATTTCCCACTAGTATACGGCATAAGACAGATGTTCCTTCAAGGGGTTTGTTTTTTCAGATCCTGTAATGGGCTTGGGTATGGCAGTAATAGTAGGACTCTCATAGTACAGCTCTATAACACCATGTAAAGCCGTGGTACCACCCTGTAAAGATCACTCTGTCAATCGTTCTAAGAGCCTCTCAAGTAGTTTTCCCAAACTTCCCCCTGAACCCTAAACCCTGAACCTCTGAACCTAGGCCCTAAACCCTCACACCTGAACCCCACACCCTCAACCTTGGGCGAGGCATACCATGGTCCTCAAAGAGGCCATGATCGCCAAGGCACGAATCCAGGACGAGCTGCGGTGCATGAAGGCGGGTTCCAGTTTTCCTTAAAGATGTTACTCAAAGGATTGCAAGGGTTACTCAAAGGATTAATGAAGGATTTTGCACAGATTTTGGTAAACACTAAAGTGTTCTTCATAGTGTTACTTAAAATGGCTCCTTCAAGGGCTACTCAATGGACCCCTACTACATGAGCTTTACGGTGTACGTGCTGGAATCGATGCCCTAAATCCTTACGCCCAAAGCCCTGAAACCCCGAGGCCCGACACCCTCAACCTACCTACCAAAACCTATTTTTTGTAGGGTCCCTACAAATTCCATATTTGGGTTTCTATAAGAACCCACGAAAAAGTAGGGTTTGGTAGTTTAGGGTAGGATTAATGGTCTCACCGGTTTAGGGCTGAGGAGCTTGTTCGCTTCGTTAACAGGAGGCTGTCATCTTCCAATGCTTTTAGGGAGTATGCGTTCGCAGTTTAGGGTTAGCACGGTGTAGGGTTTGTTTTTTTGTTTAATGCAGTGTCCGGTTTGCACAGGGTAGCATGTAGATGACTCGCTTTTTGGAGGCTGGGTACTGCTCCGGTCCTGGCGTGAGTTCTCATGCAGGGTTTAGTGTTTCACTTAGGGATGCCAGCAATTCAGACCGCATTTCAGCCCGTATTTGGATTGCAGAGCCTCATCCAGGAGGTACATAGGTCCCTGCATGGCTGTCAACCTAAAGTGTTAAGGGTTTGCCGACGCCTAGGACTTCATGTAGTACGCCGCTCCAGAGAACACTGTCCTTGGGTGTAGCAGGTTTTTTGGTACTCACGATTCTAATGACTGTAAAACATGGTGTGGTCTACCAATAGGGAGCAAACATTGAGACAATGACTGGAAGCTTGTGCCGGGAGGGGAATCCGTCAAAGGCTTTCTGATGATTTGCTGGGTTTCCCGAACCCCCCGAAAGCCTGCTTCAAGGATCAGCAGGCTCAGCAAACACTTCTAGTTGCTAGGTTGTATGGATCAATAGACTTTAGTAAGTGCATCCAGGTTGTCATAGTCTTAGGGGTACTTAGAAATAACTGTTAATTTTGGGTGATTGTAATCTCTAAGAAACAGCTAAAATTAGTGTTCTTGCTAGGGTTCTAAGTTCAGTATAGCAGTCCTCATCATCATTTCCAAGGGCTAACATGATTTCGTAGGTGAGGCATTTGGGTGTCCAGACGGTCGAACCCGATACTGACAATGGCGTCAGACTTGTTCCGTGGAGTGCCCTGCAAGCCATATCTTCTCATCAGCGGAGGCTTGTCGAACCTTTGCGGAAGGGGCCAGGCTCGGCTTAGGATGATCTTGACCAGGAAATTCGGCCGGTGACCCCGTGTCCATTTGAAGTTGTCTTCCCGGGTCACAACGACAAGGAAGCTTTTCGACAGCTTCCGGCTTGTCCGTCCTGGGGGCAGCAATCGTGATGGAGCCCAAGTCCAGCTGTGACAATAGCGTGTCCCCACTGCGGAACACAAGTTTCATGCGTCTGTCACTCTGAGTGGTGACAGTGAGTCTGACTGGTTTATACCCTAAACCCTAAACCCTAAACCCTAAACCGTTAAGGCTTAGGTTTTAGTGTTCAGGGGCAAAGCTTCAAGGTTCAGGGTTCAGGGACTTCGGGATCAAATTACGGTCCAATGCTTAGGCATTACTTGGAGGCCCTTTTGACTTAGTAAGTAGGGTTAGTAAGGTGGGTTATGGGGATTATAATGGGGTTTCTAGGGGATACTAAGTAGACTTACTAAGTCAACAGGGCCTCCAAGTAGGATTTTAGGGTTCGGGCTTTGTTACATTGGGATTAGGTTTTAAGCTTAGGGTTTAGGGTATAGGCTCCAGTAGCCGAGGTTTTCCGTTCAGGGTTCCGGGGGCAGGGTTTTGGGTTCAGAGTTGGTTGAGGGGTTTAGGGCTTAGGGTTGGGTTTCGAGGATTTAAATTGGCGTCTGGGGTTTGGGGTTCAGGATTTAGGCTCGGGGTTTAGAGTTCAGTTCAAGGTTTAGGATTCAGGGTTCGAAGGTCAAGATTAAGGGTTCAGGGTTTCGGGTTCTTTCATGAGTTCAGGGTTCCGGATCAGTGTTTAGGGTTAGGTTTCAGGGCTTCGGGTTACGGTTAGGGTGCCGGGTTCAGGGCTTACATCTGAATCTAAATCTAGAGCTTATAGGGTTCAGGGTCAAGCCTTAATTCAATAGGCTTTGGCATTGCGGCCGCGATGGGCGACTGCACTTCCAGTATTCGCGCATACGCTCGAGTACGCACGAGTAGCTCGAGTACGCTCGAGTACGCTCGAGTACGCTCGAGTACGCTCGAGTACGCTCGAGTACGCTCGAGTACGCTCGAGTACGCACGAGCACGCACGAGTACGCTCGAGTACGCTCGAGTACGCTCGAGTACGCACGAGTACGCGCGAGTACGCTCGAGTACGCTCGAGTACGCTCGAGTGCGCTCGAGTATGCTCGAGTACGCTCGAGTACGCTCGAGTACGCGAAACAACCCAGGGGAGCACGTATGGAAGTGGCTCAGTCTGTACCTTCGGTCAGAAGTACCGTAGGCAATCCTCATTAGATAAGCGGGGCTCCCACCAGTCCAAGGCGTGATCGGCGGAGTTCAAGGTTTGTGAGCTTTATTCGGATGTAAAAATCCGCGGCGCCCCAGCAGTGAAAGGCTCCATCCTCGGAGTTCGAACTTAGTGAGAGTCCTGGGTTAAAAGAGGGGCGCCGGATCAGTGCAAGGCTCCACCCTGGGCGTTCAAGCTTTGTAAGAGTCCTGATTTCGAAATCAGGGGAGCGCAACCAGTGAAAGGCTCCACCCTCGGAGTTCAATGCTTGTAAAAGTTCTGATTCAAAAATCAGGGGTGCCCCATCAGTCCAAGGCCCCACCTTCGGAGTTCAAGATCTATAAGAGTTCTGATTCAAAAGAAACAGGGGCGCCCGTTAGTCCCAGTCAACATCTGTAAAAGTTTCGCCTTAAAAATCAGGGCGACCCATCAGGCCCCACCCTCGGAGTTCAAGATTTGTAAGAGTTCCGATTAAAAAGCAGGGGCGACCCACCAGTCCAAGGCCCCACCCTCGGAGTCAAAGATTTGTAAGGGTTCTGATTTTAACATCAGGGCACGGCGTCCAAGGCCTTATTCTCAGAGTTCAAGACCTACATAAAAACAGAATTTTGAATAAATCAGGGGCGCCCCATCAGTCCAAGGCCCCACCCTCGGAGTTCAAGATCCATACGAATTCTGGTTGAAAACATCAGGGTCGCCCCATCAGTCCAAGGCCCCTCCTTCGGAAATCAAGATCTATAAGAGTTCTGTTAAAAAAACGGGGAGCCCATCAGTCCCGGTTCAAGATCTTTGAAGGTTCTGCCTTAAGAGTTAGGGCGACCCATCTACCACCCTCGGGGAAAACAGATTTGTCAAGGTTCTGATTTTAACATAAGGGGCGCGGCATCAGTCCAAGGCCCTACCCTCAGAGAGCAAGATCTATACGAGTTCTGCTTTAACAAATCAGGGTCGCCCCATCAGTCCAGCTCAAGATCTATACAAGAGTTCTGATTCAAAAAATCAGGGTCGCCCCATCACAGCCCCAGCCTCGGAGTTCAAGATCTATGCGAGTTCTGTTTTACAAAATCAGGGTCACCCCATCAGTCCAAAGCCTCATCCTCAGAGGCCAAGATCTATCAGAGTTCTCTTGGTAAAACCAGGGGTCTACCATCAGGGCAAGCCCCTATCCTCGTTGATCAAGATCTATACGAGTTCTGATTTAGACATCAGGGGAGCTCCATCAGTCCAAGGCCCCACCCTCGGAGTTCGAAATCCATACGAGTTCTGCTTAGAAAAAAAGGGGTCGTTCCATCCGTCCGAAACCCCAGCCTCGGAGTTCAAGATCTATACGTGGTCTGCTTTAGAAAACCAGGGGCGCAGCATCAGTCATCAGTCCTAGGCTCTATCCTCCGAATTCAACATCTATACGAGCTCTGATTTGAAAATCAGGGGCGCTCCGTCAATCCAACGCCCCACCCTCGCTTTTCAAGATCTGCAAGGGTTCTGGGCTCTGGCATCAGATCCATGAGCCTCGAGTAATGTGGCTTCACAATCCGGTGTCGTGACCCAATTCGACGTCACCACCTAATGTGGCGTCAGGACTTCTGCGTCACCACCTAATGCGGCGTCACCAATCCGGTGTCACCACCTAACGAAGCGTCAGCAATTCGGCGTCACCACCTAATGTGGTTTCAGCAATTCGACGTCACCACCCAATGCGGCTTCACAATTCGTCGTCACCACCCGATGCGGCATCAGGAAACAGTTCGGCGTCACGACCCAATTCGGAGCCAGGGGACAATTCGGCATCAGACAATGTGGCGTCACCTAAAGCAAAGCGGCATCAGGAATTCGGATTCGGCATCAGGTCGTTTGCCACATTCCCCCTGGCGGCCGCCTTCTATGTATATACAAACATATATATACACACACACACACTAAGAATGACAGTAAATAACAAACATAATTCATACTTGTCACATTATATAACGTCGAAAACATATACAGCATATATTGTCGAACGCATATGATTTGAGTGTTCGTCATACGTATAACCTTCAATATAATAAACACAGTATATACTGCGCAGTATTACTACTTTATATCACATAAATATGAAACATATAATTATAAAGTACAATCGACCACGTATATATTGATATATCATCCTTGCCCTTTTTGGAGCGGTCCAGAACCACAGGGCTTAAATGGATAAGGCTAAATTGGCCGGCGTAAAGCCTCATTTTGTCACGTGCTTGGCGAACTTTGTACTTTTGTGTTTGTTTTGATTCAATTTATTGTATTTGTATAATTGTCTGTTGTTTATGGTTGTACTTATTTGTACTTGTTGTTGATTGCTTGCCTTTGTTTTGACTATTTTGTGCAAGTCTGTTGTTGTGTGTTGTGGTGGCGCTTGGTCAGGATCTTCTGCTCAAAACTCCCTCCCGAAGCACGAATCACAACGGCGCCTCTGTGGTGTATAATCATTCTCTGTTTGGAAGAGCAAAAGGATGTATCAAATCTGGCTCAGTCTGGTCATGTTTGTTTCGGTAGGATTTTTCAATAGGAGAACCCGGATTTGGGAAAAACTGCTCAATCCACGGTGGGGTGATTGAGCCAGACATCTGCCCGGGCGTGGGCCGAACACACTGCTGGGCATGCCCCACCTCATTCCACATAAATTGATATAACAAGTTCTAACACGCAACCCGGCAGTACTCGCCCATACCATGCGGATACTCGCGGATGCCCACGCATGCCCGCGCATACTCGCGCATACTGGCGCATACCTGCACATACCCGCGCATACTTGTGCATACTCGCGCATACCCGCGCTCCGCATATATATATATATATATATATATATATACTCGGGCATACTCGCGCACACTCGCGCATACTCGCGCATAATCGCGCACACTCGCGCACACCCGCGCATACTCGCGCATACTCGCGCACACTCGCGCATACTCGCGCATAATCGCGCACACTCGCGCACACCCGCGCATACTCGCGCATACTCGCGCACACTCGCGCACACTCGCGCATACTCGCGCATACCCGCGCTCCGCGCATACTCGGGCATACTCGCGCACACTCGCGCATACTCGCGCACACTCGCGCATACTCGCGCATACTCGCGCACACTCACGCGCACTCGCGCACACCCGCGCATACTCGCGCATACCCGCGCACACTCGCGCATACTCGCGCATACCCGGCGCCTCCCAAGCCCTACACCTGCAGTCGCGCTTTCCCGCCACAGTGGGCTTTGGGTTTTGGATGCGAGGTTCAAGAGTTTAGCGTTCAGGGTTTCTGGGTTTAATCAAGTTTAGGCAGTAGCTGAGTGGGTGCTCTTTACACTTTTGGGGATAATATGACCCACTATAAAACCGAAAGTGTACACTTTTGGGGGCTTATGAACTCAGCAACTAAGAATATAGTACCCTAAATAATGGGATCCTTGTTATAAGGGACCCCAAAATATGGTACTCCAAAATATGGTACCCCTAATTTTCGGAATCTCGAAACCCTGAACGCAAGTTTAGGCCTGTAGACCATGCGCTCGACGAGGCGCCACAGAAACCTGCACCGGTCTGGTGCTTAATATCAAAGGGGAGAAGGAGGGAGCTATTATATACCCATTATATAGCCCATTATAGGGTAGGGGTCCCCATTAAGGGTCCCTCCTTTTCCCCTTTGATAATAGGGAATGGGGGAATGGATCCCTATAGCAGCCCCCATGCAATCCCCATTAATAGTCTCCATAATCCATTCACCATTCCCTACTAAGAAAAAGACGGTGCGGAACATTCGATGATCGCGTCATGAAGTTTCCAATCCCGAAACCATCGAACCCTGGACCTGAAGGTTTGTCGCGGTTCATTAATATTAAGGGCTGAGCAGGTAAGTTTTAACCGTTTGGGATCATGTAATCCTACCATCACTTAAACGGCTAGTCTTAGTTGAGCTAGGATACTCAGCCCTTAATACTCAGCCCCTAAGGTTAAGGGTTTACGGTTCTAAGCCTCATCCCGCTCCCTGATACCGGAACCAGCAAATCTCTGCTACGGAGGTGGTTGCCATCGAGCCGCAAGAGAGCGAGGAAAAAGAGAAGGAGGTCAAGTGAGCTGGCTCAGCACTTCCCCAAAGGGTCCTAAGTAGTGTTATGGAGAATATTTCCCTAAGTCATATGAGTAATTCCTAATATGGAAACCCTACATTCTACTATATCGGTACATAGGACACTTTGGGTTCTCCAATACCCAAGCTTTAGGACTTGCCTGGGCCCTAGGAAAGCTAATTGCATTTCGAGGGTTCCCTGCTATGATAAAGTAGGTTCTCCAGGGTCCAGTACAGTAAACCCAATAAAGTTGGAAACCGGATTAAGGCCCAATAGTGCTGGGATTCCCTATGCATTACTCTTACGGAATGAGGCTGTTGGGTTTTCAATATTTGGCTTCTACTGTAGCAGCTAGCCATGTAAAGTCAAAGGCTGAGGATTCGAGTTTTCAGGTGCGTAAACTGGTTGAGCACTTCTTCGGGGTATTAGGGAGCTGAGCCACGACAGCGCCAAAGGCCAAGAAAATGGCTTGCCGTCCTTCTCAACCCCTCTCAGGTAGATGTAGGAGTTCAGAAAAATTCAGGATCTTTTTGAATTGAGGGTTTTGGGCTGACTTGCTTTCTACCTTGGAGCTCCCCACACAGAATACCTCGTGTTTCTTCCTTCTGTCCCCACCGAGGTACGGCCGAACCCCCCAAATCCTAAATAAAGTGCTAAGGTGAAGATTCTGAACCCTGAAGCCTAGATCAGTTTTCCTAAGGTCTCTCTAGATCTTAGAGTCATAGGGCGCGTAAACCATGTACCGTACAGATTTTAGTCCTGCGACATAAAGCCCAAACTAGGTCCCCTCCCAGAATCCCCCACCTGTCGCCCCTTCTCAAACTATTAAACCCAACTTTCCCTCAACCCTGACCCCAAGGGTCCAAAGGACCCAATAATTAGGTACTCGGTTTTAGGATAGTAGTTATGTAGGTTAGGTTTTTGGAGAGTATATGATTCTTAGGTGCTTGGACCACCCTAAGGGTAAACTCTACTTTGATGTAGCTACCCGGGCTCTGTTCATTGAACCCAGGCACCCTAGCGTCCTCAGAGCCTGAAGCCTTCAAACTCACAAGCCCTGCATGCCTTACCTGGTAGTAGAGTGTAGGTAACCTTTAACCTTCTTTGGGTAGTATAGTCCCTATATGATCCCTATATAACCCAGAAGGTTAACCTGTAGTTTCCTATGATACCCGACAAGTGTGCCTATGTAGGGGCATTGACAAGTAGATCGGGGTTTTGGGTTCTTTGTCATACCCAGACCTTCCAATCTCCCTTAATTAAGGAATATACCTTAAATTATAATAGGACCCCTTATATGAATTAAGGTATATTTCTTAATTAAGGGATTTTGGAAGGTCTGGGTAAGTATAGTATAATATAGCGCCAAACCCGAGCATGCTGCACAGGGTATTTTCTACGTAGTAGCTGAGTAGATAGCCTTCAACCTTTCGGGGCTTGTAGAACCCTACCGTAGTTGGAAAGATTAACCGTTTCGGGCAAGGGTACGCAGCCCGCAATTACCCGTGGTTTCCTGTCAGATCCTTACAGGAGCCTGACGTATTGTTAAATCAACAGCAATCAAGAAAATCCTAAGCATTATATGCCCTGAAGTTCTTCATAAGGACGGCGTGAAGAGGCTTTGTTTCGGAAAATTCCTGCAGAGCCCAGTCGGGATTGTCACTGCTTCAGTTGCACCAGCGAATTTAGGTACTCTTAACTAATTCTGAAATCTAAACCGTCAAAGCCAAACACGTGCCTGTGGAAATGATAAATTTATAGCCAAATGCCGGTTGAGTCCTAAACTTGGAGCCCTCGACGAGACAGCTTTGCGCCGTAGATGTTTCGTATGGTTCGGAGTTTAGGGTTTAGAGTTTAGGTTCAGCGTTTAGCAAGGTTTAGGGTTCTGGCTTCTTTTCTTAGCTGAGTGTGTAGAAACATCAATGCATTCGACATGTCGGATAGTGTATATTTTGAGAAATGAAAGTTAAATCATTACGGCGTATTATACGAATGTAGACTGCTGATTCCGTGATAGCCGGAAGCAGGTCGGACGCTCATCCAGCACATCCACGTTACGTGCAAAATCAGGGGTAAATGCGAGCAGGGTTGCATTTCAACTGTCAACAGCTTAAGGGACACAAGTTCCTTAAAGTTGCTTTGCCCATCGGGCAGTATTTCTGGAACCCATATTGGCAGAGAAGAGATAAGTGTTAGCGAAAAAACTAACATCTTGCCAGCAGCTTCATGATTGTTCAATGGGGGTACCTTTCCAGAGTGTATTGGTAAGAACTAGTCGCAAGTGCTTGAGCTAAGCAGTTGCTCAAGAGGCCCAGCAGAATTATATACACTCCCTGAGGGTCCATGTACTCATATAGTATATACATTGGCCTTAATGTAGTCCCTACATAGGTACTTTGGGGCCCATGTATCTCTCTCTCTCTATATATATATATATATATGGTTATATGGACCCTTAAGGAGAGGCTGTCCTACCATCAGTTGAGGGAACGTAGCCTAAACCCTAACTCCACGGAAACCCTACACCCCTAAACCTTGGTGCGACTGCGGCTTTGCTCACAAAGGAGCAGCTCACAGTCTCTGAAAGTGCGGCAGTTCCGTAGTACGCAGACCTTCCAAAATCCCTAAATTAAGGATGATACCTTAATTCATGTTAGGGATCCTATTATAGATTAAGGTATATTCCTTAATTAAGGGGTTCTGGAAACCCCTGCAAAACCCGATTACACCTCGTGGTTTTGAGCCGTAAGCACGTCAAAGCGCCTTATTCAGATATGGGAGTCTCCGAAAATAGGGGACCCTAATATAATACTCTAAATAGGAGGCTCCCTATTATAAGGACCCCAAAATAAGATACCCTGAATTTTCGGAAATTCACATGTTTGAACCAGAACAGTTCCGAACTGCCACAGTTTCAGCCACAGCTTTGGCCCTGTGCAAAGCACATGCTGCCAACCCTCTTACGGAAGGAGACTCCGGGTGTCGATAGGGACCCAAAAAGGACATAAGCATAAGCATTTTACGGGGATATCCCTACGTTATTGGGCTTCATTCTGAGGGGGTTTATATGGGATATCCCTATCCTAATTTTTGCTTAGGTGCTTTTTGGGGGGCCCTAGATAAAGGTGGTCTGCTTTAACTGGGTTCTGGAGGAATGAAAAAGACCCTAAATAATTACCTATACTATTTTGGGGGCTCCTTATTTTAATTATAGTATCATGGGCACCAAAACTGTATTCTTATTATTGAGGCCCCTATTTCTCACCATGCTTGAATATGTTTTGTTGGACTTGTTCCTGAAAGGAACCATTATTACGTCTAGGCTTTTTCTTCCGGGTGACTTCAAAGCCCGGTCAAGGCCACCACGACCCGTAAGACTAGGAGTAAACTAGGTGCCTGATGCCCTTGTACTATAAATGCCCGTACTTATTAGTAGAGTAAGTCTACACCCCAAACCCTAAACCCTTTACCGTAGTAACCTTTCAGCTTTTCGGGGTGTTCCTTTTTGGCCCACTGTTTTATTCCCTAAACCGCAATATCCTGCTGATGCCCAAGTACCCAAAGCCCCTAACCCTCAACTTCAAAATCTAAGTAGCTGATAATTGGGTCCTTAAGCCGTAGTTGCCGGGAAGGGAGTCAACCTAGACCCTCCATCTACCCTCTATTAGACCCGAAATGTCCCCTATTTGGGACCCACATACCGCTATTTGAGGGTACAAGGAGGGTCCTGGAAGATGGCCAAAAATCCTAAACCCTAAACCCTAAACCCAGCTTTATCGGGCAAGGGGTCTCCAAAGACGAAGATGAAGGAGCATGCGAGTCCCTTTTGGGATCGGCTGTGAAGCTCTAAACTCCTAAACTGGACCTAAACGGCAAACCGCAAGCCCTACACCAAGCCCCTGAACCCAAGATTGGCCCTAAAACTTCAACCCACGACGCAACATCTGCTGAATTGCTTCATTATCTAAGCTCTGTAGTGCTCTTTGCATCTTTTGTTTGAGGGCATAAGCCCTCAACCCCTCAATCTCTTATTCCCTGAGAATTCTCAGTGTTTCCCCATATGCTGCCCATACTTCCCAATCTATGGAGCTTTCCTGAAAGCTTGCTCTATGTATTTTGGATCTAATGTTTCGGGCTTACGAGCAATTTTTGAATGCACCAGATGCCCTATACTGCTGTCTGAAGCTGGTATGTGCCGCAAGTCCAAGCTTTATGGATATTCGACATGCCTGCGCAACGAAATCCCTATGTAGATAAGTTCCTAAACAACAATAAACCCTAAGCCTAAGCCTAGGTAGAAGAGCCCTAACCTCCATGCTCACTTGGTAGATGGCGAGAGTGGGACTCCGAGTTTGCATGTACAACATGTACAGCCCTGAGGACCAAACGATGCTGTGAAGTGATATTACAAACATGAATAGACAGAGTGGTATCCCTTACGGCTCCTTCCTTGGAATGCCCGACCTTCCAAAATCCCTTAATTAAGGAATATACCTTAATTCATATAAGGGGTCCTATTACAATACTTTAAAAAAAATTGTAATAGGACCCCTTATATGAATTAAGGTATATTCCTTAATTAAGGGATTTTGGAAGGTCTGGGGAATGCGTAACCTTCACGAATTGTGGAGGACACGGTCTTGTCCAGACGAGGGTCATGGTTGGGTTCAATCTTGTTTAGGATGCCCAGTAGTACCCTTATTCCCTTTTTGTAGTCCTAGGTTCCTTATAAAGCTACCCAATACCAAAAAGAGAGGCCTTTTTATTCTTAGGTTACTGGGTATTCTAGGTAAAGTCTTTAGACAGTGTGGGTCTGGGTAGCAAGGAAGGAATCCTTCCTTGTTAGAATCAGAATGTCATATACCGCAATTCCCTATTCCACTCGACAAAGCTCCGAAGGTACCCAGGCCTTCCAAAATCCCTTGATTAAGGAATATACCTTAATTCATATTAGGGATCCTATTATAATTTAAGGTATATTCCTTGATTAAGGCATTTCGGAAGGT